GGTGGGTGTGTCGGGCCCGGGCGCGTGGGGTGGGGCGGGCGCAGGAGGCCCCGGCCGGGCCGGGTGGGAAGGGCGCCGCGGCTCGGGTTCGGGCTCGGGCCCCGGGACAGCGCAGCCGGGCCCCCTGCGTGCGGGCTTGGAGACATGGCTGCGGCGGGCCCCCGCGGTCCCGCTGCCCGCGCCGCCGCGCCCTGAGCGCCCCTCCCCCGCTTCCCCCGGGTCCCCCTTCTCCAGGCAGGAAGATGTGCAAGCCCCGCGCGGTGGAGGCGGCGGCAGCGGCGGTGGCGGCGACGGCCCCGGGCCCGGAGATGGTGGAGCGGAGGGGCCCGGGGAGGCCCCGCAGCGACGGGGTAAGCAGGCTCCTTCCCCGCACTGAGCAGCGCGCCAGCCGGGCCCGGGCCTCGCGCACGTGGGCGCAGCAGGGGGCTCCCCCCCATCGGTGCTCGCCGGCCGGACTGGCCTGGGGCAGCTTCCTTCTCTGCCGCCTGGCCGCGAGTGGCGGTCCCCGCTCCACTGTGACACTAGCTGGCAGTGTCTGACCTCGAAAAGTTTGAATGTGGCCTTGTGGCATTTACAGCCCCTCCCGAGACCTCGGGTCTCAGGAGGTGGCTCCCTTCCCAAGGGTGTCCGGAGCTTACTCTCTTGCCCCTCTAGTAACCAGAGTGTCTGACTTGGTGTTTAGAGGCTTACCAGTCTGCCAGGCCCTGCATTGTTTTGGGGAGAGCCCACTCCGAGGAGAGGCTCCACACCCAAAGACACTCAACACAGCAGTGACCTGTACTAACACCCCCACCCCCCCAGCCTGATCCAAAGATTGCAGCCAAGGTGCGGTTTGCAGTGGAGTGACCGCCCTAAATGCGCTGGCCGGCAGCCTGTGCTCTCATTGGCCTCCCCCATCACTCAGCCACAGTACTGGGAGGTGCTGAGCTGCAGTGACTTGAGAGGGGCCAGGCCTGGCGCAGAAGATTCAGACACTAAGCAAGACCTCCCAGTTGGCCTCAGCTCTAAGTGGTTAATCAGGTTCCCTTAGGCTTGTTTCTGTGCTGGTGGCTGACTCCCTAGCCTGGGGAGATAACCCCTGACTCAGCCCAGCCCTTCGAATCCAGAGTCAGTTTTCCCTGGGTCATTCTGACCTCCCTGCTGCTTGGTAGGTTAGTTCTTTCCTTAAATGGACTGTACCTCTGCTGGCCAGACTTCTCCCTTAAAAACTGGGTTTAGAGAGTATATGTGTTCAGAAACCTGGGGCTTCAAAAATCTGCTGCTGCTCTCCTGAGAGATCGCTCTCCTGGGGCTGGCATCTTCTGGTTGGCATGTCCTGGAGTGGTGATGAAATCTCTTTTGTATTCTTACTTCCCCTTCCTCCCCTAAAACGCTGTGGGATTGCCTTTGTTTCCAAGCCTCTTTCAGAATATGTGTTTGTCTTTCTAGGAGAACGTGTTTGCTGGGCAGTCAAAGATCTATGCCTACATGAGTCCGAACAAATGCTCTGGAATGCGCTCTCCACTTCAGGAAGAGAACTCAGTTGCACATCACGAGGTCAAATGCCCGGGGAAACCATTAGCTGGAATCTACAGGAAGCGAGAAGGTAAGCCCTGAACGGCCTCGCTCTGCCTTCAGCTGCTCAGACTGTCCACACTCACACATATATCTTTCCAGTTCCGGATGTGAAGGAGATACTAACCTTGTTCTTCTGGTGAGAAACACACACAGGTGGAAAAGAGGAGGGTGTGTCTGAGTGTGTGTCCTGTGGTCTGACAGGTTTTTCCTACTTTCACAAGAGTTAGCATATCCTTCAGGCGTGTCTTGCCACATTGTAAAAAAAAAAAAAAATGACATAACCGACCTGCAATTGGAGAGGCTTACGATTGTTAAAAATGCAGAAAAAGTGAGTCCAGGTTGTACAAAGCAGGCAGCTGACTGCAATATGAAGTGGACCCAGGGGATCAATTAACTTGCCGTGGATGGCAGGGCCTGACCCCATTTCTACAGTTTCTTTCCATTCAAGCGTTCTGTGTTACTTTCCAAAGCAGTATGGGCTGTGTGTGAAATTCTGAGTTAAATCCTAGGCGGGTGGTAGGGCCTGATAGAATACTTGTCAAGCATGTGAGACTCTGGGTTTGATCCTCAGCATTGTACAAAAAAAAGGGGGGGAGGGACCCAAGAGTGTGTGATTATTGAGAAATTCTGTGGAAACCAAATTACAGTGATTTCAAAACCAGCATGGCTTACAGTATGATCCTTTGTCCCACCTCACTGCCCAGAATAAGGAGGATTGGGGTGTGGCCCAGTGGGATGATGTTTACCTAGCAAGAGTAAGGCCCTCAGCTCAGTTCCTAACACCTCAAGAAGAAAATTCCACTCAGAGCTGTGAACAAGGCAATCTTGTAAGAATCTTGCTTTCTTCCAGATATGCCTCTTTTAGAGTTTCAGTGAGGAAAGGCTCCTGTCCACCCCCACAATTCATTCCTATGGATGAATCTTGCCCTACTGAGCACCCTCCCCCCCACCCCCCCACAGCTTTTTAGGATAAGGCTGTATGTTCACCAACAGAAATGGTCAGAAGTGCTAAAGCCCAGCCTCTCGAGCTACTTTTGAGAGCTAAGGTGGGGGCAGCCCTATCCCTGTGGGAGGAGACTACCCTTGGCTTAATTTTTTTTTCCTCCACCCCCGTGTCTGGGGCTATGTTGTCTGGGCCTCAAAGTAACTTAGATTCTAACTGTAGCTGCCATTTGGAAGCAGGAGGCCTAGGCAAGCTGAAGCTCTTTTGTGAGTCCTGGGCAACATACCTGTCAGCTGAGAGGAGGACTTCTGTCTCACCCATTGGGCTGTAGAAGGGCCCGGAAATGTCGCAGCTGCAGGCTGGGCCCCACTGCACTGCCATGTCTTTCTACATCCTGTGTCTACAGCTGTCAGGAGGGTACCTGCCGCCCAGGCTTGGCTAAAGTTCCTGTCTGGGGCCCATAGCCACCTTGTATCCCTTCCAAAATTGGGCAGAGTGAATATTGTCCATATGATCAGGCTTACTGATTCCTGGTGCTGTTAAATGGCAGTAATTAGAATTTGGAGTCACGTGTGCATTGGAATATCTGAGGTCACAATCTCACCTAACTGCTGTGACACAGACAGTTCTCATTGAATTTGTCAACAGACCTTTTCTATCTGTAGGGTTAGACCTACCATCCTGCCCAGAAGGGAAAGGTGGGAGGGAGTGGGGCTGACCCAGATAGACTTGGGGGGGTGTTTTAATTACATTTATGTATGTGTGTATCTTTGGGGTGGGACAGTGGGTGTTTATGTGCTGCCACGTACATGAGGGGGTTCAGGGGAAAACTTAGAGGAGTCAGTTTTCTCCTGTGAAGGTCCTGAGAATCCGATTCGGGAGTCGGGCTTGGTGGCAAGCGCTTTTACCTGCTGGTCCTTCTCATGGTCTCGGCTGCATCTCCTTTTTTTTTAATCCTGTGCTGGGAATCTGGACTCAGGTCTCATGTTATATGAGTCATTTTACTAAGCTTGCTTCCCAGCTTCGCCGTCCTGATGCCTGGGATACATCTCTTTTCCCTTTTTTGTTTGTTGCTCTGTAATTCTGGAATCGAAGTTTATTTGCTTATTTTGTAGAACCTGGGATAGAACTCAGAGACTGGGCCTCTTAGGCAAGCATTCTACCACTGAGCTAACCCAGGCCTTTTTTTCCCCCCAAGACAAGCTCTCCTGTAGCCTAGCCTAGCTTCAAACTTCCCATGCAGTCGAGGATGGCCTTTAACTTGTGCTCTGCCTCCACCTCCGGAGTGTGCTGGGATTGTTGTAGGCCTGTGCCACCATGCCAGAGTTTACTCTGAGCTCCGTCCCTAGCTCCAAAGTGTGCACTTGGGTGATTTTTTTAGTGTGTCTGCAGTCACACACCTGCCACCTCTAAGTCCAGACCATTTTTGTTACCCCACAAAGAAGATAGCCAGCAATACTCACTTGGCACTCCCCATCCCCCACAGCTCTAGGCAGCCTCCTTTCTGGGTCTGCAGCCTTGCCCGTTGTGGACATTTCATGCAAATGAAGTCATAGGATACGTAGCCTTTTGTGTTTGGCCTTTTACTCAGCATGTTTGTCAGAGTCAGCCCTTGTGTATAGTGTGTGTCAGTGCTTTGTACTTTTTTTATGGTTGAGTCCTAATCATTCCCAGTGTGTGGACAGACCACAGTTTAACTATTTGTACACTGATGGGTGTTTGGGATGTTTGCTTTTTTGTCTGATGTGCCTAAGCTACCACGTTTCATGTACAGATTTTTTTGTGTAGACATGTGTTTTTAATTCTGTGTAGATGTCTGACTGTGGACTTGCTAGGTCACATGATAATTCTATGTTTAACTTTGTAAGGAAACCTCGAAACTGTTTTCTAAAATTGGTGTGCCATCTCATATCTCTGGGTAGCGTATTAGTTATTTACTTTAAGAAGTAAATCATTAAATCAATTTTTTTTTAAATAGCACGGTTCACCAGCACCGAATTTGCACACTGTTATTAGCAAGGCTGTTTGTTGTGTGCCTCATGACAGGATACATGCCAGTCTGCCTAGGTGCCATCCGGAGAACCTCTGGGAGCCTGGGACTTCAACCTTTTTAGAAGGAGGGTTTGTTTGGCTAAGATTCTGAAGTGAAACATGCCAGGCAGTGAGTGGAGAAGGGTTTGGGCTCTGTCTCCTCGCTCCACCCTCCAGTGGAGCTTTGCTTTTGGAATTGAGCTTATTTTCTTGGGTGTGCAGGCCGGTGTCTGGAAGCCTCTAGCTGAGCACTCCCATGTCCACATACAGAGGACCAGGCCCTGTCTCCAAGTACTTCTGCCTGATTGGCCTTAGTGGACACTGGCACAGTAGGCTCCAGCTCCTTCCTGTCACTCACAGAATGCTCCTATCTTAGCCTGTCTTAGAACACAGGTGATAACCGGTGGTGCATGGAGTCAGTAAATCCCTGTTTCCCACCTGTCCCACTGCAGAGAAAAGAAACACTGGGAATGTTATCCGAAGCGCTGTGAAGTCAGATGAACAGAAGAGCAAAGATACCAGGAGAGGTCCCCTGGCGCCTTTTCCAAACCAAAAATCCGAAGCAGCAGAACCTCCAAAAACTCTACCCCCATCATGTGATTCTACCAATGTAGCAGTTGCTAAGCAAGCCCTGAAAAAGCCCCTCAAGGGCAAGCAAGCCCCTCGGAAAAAGTGAGTAGCCTAACACCACTTGGTTCCTGTGGGCTGGCTCCGGTGGCCACTGCTTGTGTCGCCCTCTCCCAGGCCTTTCTGGTGTTTCTGTGTGTGTGTGTGTGTGTGTGTGTATGTATATGTGTGTGTCAGGGTCCAGAGGTCAAGGCCTCCCTCCCTATCTCTTCCCCAGAGAGAGGGAGCAGCTGTCCTTGAGTCTGGGGCTCGCCCAGGTAGTTGAACAGATGGGCACCTAGGTCCCACTGCACAAAAGTTTTGAGGAATGCATTTACAAGGAGTTACCTCCTGGGTCTGAGCAGGGCAGTAGGCCTCATGTTTATTTTCTCCCCTCCCCTCTTAACCCAGGTCTCAAGGGAAAACACAGCAGAATAGAAAACTCACAGATTTCTACCCTGTGCGGAGGAGCTCCAGGAAGAGCAAAGCTGAGCTACAGGTAAGGTCTGCTCAGCCACAGCCGGGAGAGGCAGGGAGGCCTGTGGGGCTGTTTAGCATGTGTAGGTGGACCCTGGAGTGTGTCTTCCCTTCTAGCAGACATCATCCTCAGCTTTCTCTACCTTCTGGTGGGGCAGGAGGCATACTTAAGACCCCTGTGGAAGCCTCGTAACTTGTACTTCATGGCATAGAAAAATCAGATTGGCGTTTCCAGGATGTTTTGGCAGTGTGTTTGGAGCCTAGAACTGTAAGGCTGCCTGTTCTTTCAGGAGCTTCTCCTCTCTTCAGCCTAGAAGTTTCTAAAGAACAGTAGCTTGGAAGTGCTTACTGATTGCTGGTGAACTGCTCTCTCCTGTCTGTAAAATGGCCTGGTAAAGTCCAGGGATGGAGACATACCTATAATTCTAGTATTCAGGACAGAGTTGAGAAAACTGATGGAAACTCTTACAGAGTGGTCCTGTCTGCACAGGAAGTTCCCGTCTACATGGCTACATAGCAAGTCCCTCCCTCAAAAAGAAAAGACCTGATAGTGAGTTGTTATGAAGATAAAAGAAGTGGATTCACACAGATGCAGTGGCGAATCCAGCACTCAGGAGAGTGAGGCTAGATCTCCAATTTGAGATCACCTTAGGCTGCATAATGAAACCCTGTCTGAAAGCAAAGCAAATAAAATGCTCTCCTAGGTAGGGCTGGAGACATAGCTCACTCAGTTGGAGTTTTTGTTTGTCGTGTTTTAGAAGTCCACAATTTCCGTTCCTAGCACTGCATAAGCTGGAGATGGTGGTTCTTGTCTGTAATCCTGATGAGGTAGAGACAGAAAGATCTAGAGTTCCAGGCTGAGTGGGAGGTGGTTGTACATACCTTTAATTCTAGTACTTGGGAGGCAGAGGCAGCCTCGTCAGTAGAATTCCAGGACAGCCAGAGCTGCACAGAGAAACCCTGTCTTGAGGACAGGGGTTAAGGCTAAGTTACATGGAGAATCGAAGGCCAGTCTGAACTCCATGAGAACCTTTCTCATAAAAGATCCTGTTCTGTAATGATGTAGGAGTGCAAGTGGTAGGCAGCTAGCTGAGACTGTCACCCTCCCTTGTTTCCCAGGATAGTCCCTTCCCATCTGCCTGTTTCCAGCTAAATATGAAGTGGCTTATAGGGAAGAAAGTAGCCAGTCTGGGTGGCCCCACACCCATGTGTGCAGTACCCAGTGGGCAGCCTGTCTACGTTGGTGCAGTGGGGTGTGGTTATTGCCTCTCTTCTGAATCCCACTCGTATGCCCAGGGAGTCGGGGTCAGTCCCTCACTCTCCTGCACGTCTTTTTGACTCTGAAGGCTTCAGATCACCTCAGAATGGGAAAGAAGGGATTGATTTGGGCAGTCTGAGCATTTCATGTGCTGCCGAGGTTCCCTCAGTATTAGAGATGGCAGGTCTGCATGCAAAGTTCTCTGTTGATGCAGCTTTATCTAAAAACAAACCCAAAGGGGTTAGGGGGTCTGCTTTCTCCTCCCTCCCCACTTGCCCACTAGCTTTGACTTCATTTCTTATGAAAGGCAGTGCCTTGGCCAAGAATGAGCTGTTAGAAACGCCTGCCAGCAGTGGGAGGCTGTGCTAGGTCACTCTCAAAGGCTGCATTGCAGAGCAGAGGTGGTGCCTGGCCACACAACCCCAGGGCTCCTCCCAGCCAGGCAGGAGTCATGGCAGGCCCCACACGGGCTGAGGGCTGCTGGGCGAGAGTACCTAAGCCAGCAGTGCTAAAGAAAAGTCAGGCTCTTGTGCCTGGAGAGGGAGGACTGCAGAGGGACTGCAGAGCTCACCTGCTTACTGCAGTAGAGAAGCTGCCACCACAGGGAAAGCACACCCTGCTCCCAGATAGAGCAGGAAGCAGCCCAATCACGCACCATGCTGTGCCCCTCACTGTTTGTCTTGGCTCTGCTGAAAGAGCACTGTTCCCCTGTCGCTGACATGGCAGTGAAGTGACAGCTGCCTGTGGCACCATGGATGTGGCTGTCGCTGGCAGAGTTTGTATTCTCTTGACTGCAGGGAAAGCTGGAGGACATAGCAGCGAGGTCTGTCAGAGGGTTGAAGTTCCTCCCGACCTAACTAGGTTAGGCTAGGGGCTGAGTAGGTGGGCCAGTGTACTTGACCCGTGGCCAAGAGTGAAATCAAAGTACCAAGTTGTGGGGCCCCTTGTGGAGGTTAAGAAAAGCTGGTGGGGCAGAACCAGGTCCAGAGTTCAGAGCAGGAGGGAAGGATTTGGACCATAGGGTTTGAACACAGGGCAAGCCATAGGGAAATGCCCCCAGCCTCATAGTACTACATTGAGGAGCCTCTTGGCTGCCTGGCTGGCCTGCCCATTGGTGGGCTGGCAACTACACTGTAGCAATAGCAAAAACAACTGTTGGCAGTTCCCTGGCTTCCTTGTCCCTTCCGATACTCCCTGAGGACTGTAAGGAGCCGTCGTCCTCCCTGTCCACCTTCACTCAGGCCTTGACTACTTCCACAGAGTGTGACTATGGACTTAGGAAGATCCCTAGGTAGTGCTGGAGTGCAGCACTAGAGCCCTTGTCTCACATGCGTGAGGGTGTAGGTGCAGTCCCAGTACTGTCAAGAAGACAAAACCTAACTCTGCCTGCCTTTGGATGGTTGGTGAGATGGAGTAGTTTGGTACCGTGGTGAGCCTAAGGCTCCTTGGTCCCCAGGAATCTCCAGTTTCTCTGAAAAGGTGTCTGACAACTCCAGAGCAAAGGAGGAAACAAGCAGGCACATGGATTAGGGAAAAGGTCACACTAGGTAGGAAGGACAGCTGCTCAACAGCCTGGAGACCTGGCCTGGAGACCTGGCCTTCTGGAAGAGCCTGTTGTATGGGAGATAGGGGAGGTGAGACAGCGAGGCTTGCATCTTACAGAATCTGTCCCCACATAAGAAAAAGTCCTGCATGGTGACGCACACCTGTGATCTCAGCACTCAGGAGGTAGAGAGGCAGGCAGATCTCTGAATTCAATTCCAAACTCTCTCAAAATAGAAAAATGTAATGATTGGAAAGGTAAACCAGCATCCTGGGTGAGGTTATGTCTTGCTTTAATCTCATTACTTGAGAGTCTAGTACAGGAACGTTTTGAGTCCCAGCCCAGCCTTGATACATAGTAAAAGCCTTTTTTTGTTTTGTTTTGTTTGTTTGTTTGTTTTTGAGACAGGGCTTCTCTGTATAGCCCTGGCTGTCCTGGAACTCACTCTGTAGACCAGGCTGGCCTCAAACTCAGAAATCCGCCTGCCTCTGCCTCCCAAGTGCTGGGATTAAAGACGTGCGCCACCACCGCCTGGCGTTAATTTTATTTTATTTTTTATTTTTTTTTTAGTTTTTGTCTTTCTATGTAGCCCTGGCTGCCCTAAAACTCATTCTGTAGAACAGGCTGGCCTGGAACTCAGATCAACCTGCCTCTGCCTTCCTGGTACTGGTGCTGGTGCTCGGATTAAATTTTTCAGTGATTTTTGATTCTTAGGTAAATTACAAAGGCAATACAGCTACTTCTCAGAGACCCATTACCAACCTGTTCCATTATCAACATCTTGAGTCATTCTGTAAATCTGTTACAACGGAGAAGTAGCATGGAAGCTTCCTATTAGGTGAACGTGCGGGAATGGTGTGGCTTCTCTTACAGCTCTAAAAGAACTGGGTGTGGCGGTGCTTTTCAAAGTAGCAATAGTAACCACAATCTTTTCGGAAGGTTCCCAAGGTCCAAGGTAAAGAGGGGAGTCCAGGGTTGTAGAGGGAGCCCTGAGGCTCAGGGGGCGCCCCTCAGATAATGGCTTGGCAGAGGACAGCAGTAGGGCCGAGGAGAAGATATCAGGTGGACACAGGTCTCACTCACTCAGCAGGGTCTCCATCACATGTCCCAAGGCCTGTGTGGACTGAATGACTGGCTAGCTGTGCCCTGGTACCAGGTTCTGCCCACAAGGTCTAGCAAGGGTGTGAGTTCAACAGGTGGCAAGACCTCCACAGATGCCATCAGCCCAAAGAAGTCCCTCCATGCTGCTGAGCCAAAGTGCTTTGGGGCTTCTGGTGCCTCTATAGCTCCTCCCTCTTGTTCCCTAGCACCCTGTGTAATGAGAGGACACAGTGGGATCCAGGGTGAGATGGAGTAGCAACAGGAGAGGTTACCCATGGGAGTTCTCTAGCTCCTCTGTTCCTTGCTGTGGTGTTCTACTGGTTAAGAGGCACAGGCATAGCTCAGTTAGCTAGGAGGGACAAGGAGCAGATACGTCCTGCTTAAAGGTACAGCCTATGATCTGTTCTGGTCGACTCATGCATTATTTATTTGCTGGTGCTGGGCATTAAAACCATATGCTGAGCAAATGTGGTTCCTTTCGTGCCTCCTTTTCTATTTTACTTTTAATTTTGACATAGGCTCTCACCACATTGCCCTGTGCTGACCCAGTACTTACTATGTAACTCATATTGGCCTCAAATGTATGAACATTGTACCTCAGACTCTTTTTTTTTTTTTTTTTTTTTTTTTTTAATTTTTTGGTTTTTCGAGACAGAGTTTCTCTGTGTAGCCCTGGCTGTCCTGGAACTCACTCTGTAGACCAGGCTGGCCTCAAACTCAGAAATCTACCTGCCTCTGCCTCCCAAGTGCTGGGATTAAAGGCGTGCGCCACCACTGCCCGGCTGTGCCTTAGACTCTTCAGCAGCTGGGATTACAGGCATAGGTCACCAAGCCCAGTTAATGGGGGGGTGGTTATTTCATAGGAAGTCAGAATCCAGATCTTATATCTACATATTTATTTGTAGCAGGGGCGTTTGTGTGCCATGGTTTGTATGGTGATCAGAGCTAACACCTTAAGGGAGTTGGTTCCCTCCTTGTACAGTGTGGGTTCTAGGGATCAGATTCAGATGGTCAGGATTGCCAGCAAGTGCCTCTGCTCATTGAGCCTTCTCGACAGCCCTAGAGTCCTGTGTTTTAGATCCTGATGAGTTAAATATATTTATTTAAAGGGCTGTACAGGACAGACTGCATGTTTAATCCTCTAACAGAAACACCCGAGATGATAAAGGTTCCTTCTCTGTAACTGCTGTAGAGATTCAGTCTGTTAGCTGACTCCTGTTGCTTTGAGCATCGTGGAGGAGCATGTGGGACATGACTGCTTTCCTGAGTTCTGGAAACGAGAGAATAGACAGGAGTCTCGCTGTATCCCACACAGAGCAGATCCCCTCTCAGTGGATTCAGGGTTTCCCAGTGCTTACCACAGGGCAGACCATTCGACCCTTCTTCCACAAGGACCCTTGGGGAAACACTTGAGATCCAGACTAGCTAGGAATGGTGATGCCCACTTATAGGCCCACCCTTTGGAGGCCAGGGTGGGAGGAGTGTCAGTTCAAGGCCAGCCTGGGCTTACAGTGTGAGTTCCCAGACTCAGAAACCAATAGAAACAAAGGCTGAAAGAATAGCGGGCCTGAACCGTGTGCCTCTTGTCTGGGTGAAACTGGATGATGGTTGCTCTTGGCACATGGGTGAGGAGAGGCGTGCTCAGGGCTGTGTGGCAGCACAGGTTGGCCGTAGCATGGGACATGAACACTAACTCTGTTCTTTTCTTTCCTCTCCACACAGTCTGAAGAAAGGAAGAAAATAGATGAGCTGATTGAGAGTGGGAAGGAAGAAGGCATGAAGGTAAGGCCCACCCCTCACAGCTGAGACGAGCCACAAGACTGCCCTGACCACACATGCTCAGTGGGAGTCCCACTCCTGTAGAGTGTCCGAGAGCCAGACCTAGCAGTTTTGAAGCAAGCGTGTCAGGAAGGTGCAGACAGGCATCAGCTGCTTGGCATAGGAGAGAGCTGCTTCTATTTCAGGGTTTTTAATTTTTTGTGGACTGAGTGTTTTGCTTGTTGTATGTCAGTATACCACATGTGGGCCTGGTGCACCCCGAAGTCAGAAGAGGGCATTTAATCCCCTGAACCCGGTAGATGGTTGTGACTTACCGAGTGGATGCTGAGCACTGATCCCAGGTTCTCAGGAAGGATAAATGTTCTTGATAGATTGCTGAGCTATCTTTCAGCCCTGTTTCTTTTTTTTTTTTTTTTTTTAAAGATTTATTTATTTATTTTATATATATGAATACACCACCATTGCTCTCTTCAGACACATCAGAAGAGGGCATCAGATCCCATTACAGATGGTTGTGAGCCACCATGTGGTTGCTAGGAATTGAACTCAGGACCTCTGGAAGAGCAGTCAGTGCTCTTAACCACTGAGCCATCCCTCCAGCCCCTCAGCCCTGTTTCTTAATGTAATGTTAAAAAGATTTTTATGTAATTATGTGTGTGTACATGTATCTTTCTGTTTTATATAAGTGGAGTAGGGTTACCCACAGGACAGAAGGGCATCAGACCTCTTGGAGCTGGAGTTACAGGTGGTTCTGAGTTGCCCGATATCAGGGTACGGGTGATGGGAACTGAACTGGGTGCTCTTGACTGCTGAGCCATCTCTCTGGCCCCTTGCCTTGTTTTTGTTTGAGATGGGTCTCTTTCCCTATGTATTCCTGACTGTCCTGGAATTCATTCCATAGAACAGGCTGGTCTCAAACTCATAGATCTTCCTGCCTCTGCCTCCAAAATATTGCAATTAAAGGTGTACACTACTACACCTGGCCCTGGGTAGTTATAACAAAAGAAAAAGTACAGTGGGAATGGTGGCAAAGTTTGTCAGCCCATCTATCTACTCAGGAGACTGAGAAAGAGTGGTCTTAAGATTGGAAAATCAAGCTGGGCAGTGGTGGTGCACACCTTTAATTCCAGCACTTGGGAGGCAGAGGCAGGCGGATTTCTGAGTTCGAGGCCAGCCTGGTCTATAGAGTGAGTTCCAGGACAGTCAGAACTACACAGAGAAACCCTGTCTCGAAAAAACCAAAAAAAAAAAAAAAAAAAAAAAAAAATGGAAGATCAAGTCTTCCCCGAGTCATGGAGTCAGTTCAGTACAAAAAGAGGGCTAGAAATGTAGCTTGTGGGTCCACATCTGCCCCGCCACTGGGCACAACCTCTTGGAGAGACAGAACTTGGGGAGTTTGACTGTGCTTAGCCCATCTGGGCTGTAGGGAAGCACTGAGACACTGCTCCTGGGGTGGGAAAGCTGGTACAGGGGGTCCCTGGGCCTGCAATAAGATCTGCTCCGTGGGGTTTTCGGACTCTTGGATATCCAGGTACTGCTGGGAGTTTAGGAAGAGCTGAGAACAGAGTCAGTGGACAGCAAATAGCTGGGGGCCAGGGATAAAGGGAGCTCTGACTGGTCCAGCATTGATTGTCCTTAGCTTGGCAGAGGCAGGCTGCAAGCGCAGAGAGGCCTTCTATAGGAGAGCTAAGCTGCTATTCTGTAGGCAGATGCCTTCTTCACAGCGGATCTTGGTCAAAGACAGTCAGTGGTTCCAAGCTGTTCGTTGGTTGTTGATTGTGGAGAATGGATATGCATACTGTTGTGTCTTACCCGCTTGTCAGAGTCTCCAGGTCTCAACCTGCTCTACCTTCCCGTGCTTCCTGGCATGGCTTACCATCCAACAGTAGCTCAGTGAGAAAATGCTTGCAGAGCATCCACAGAGCCCTGCATTCAGTCCCGAGCACTCACCCCTAGAGAAGGAAAGCAGCAGACAAAGATAATTATACAGAGAGGATTAAGTTGATCCCAGAGGACTTGCTTTTCTCCAAGTGGTCTTGTTTTGTGTTGATACTGGGGACTGACTGACTGAGCCTGTGCTGTATCCCTGGGCCCACACTCAGAAAACTGTTTTGGGAGAGGGGCTATTCCTCCAAGGTGTGGTAATCGTGGTCTCTTCTAGGAGTGAAGCATCAAAAGCCTTTTCTTTCCACCTATAACCTAGACTCTCAGATTTAGTCCTGGGCCCCTGGAGCAGCCACCCTTTTTGTAACTCCATTTGTAACAGAGTGAAGAGAAACACCAGAACTTACTGGTGGATCACAGGTTCAGGACACTGAGCCTTGCTTGTCCCCCAGTAAGCAGAGAACCTTATGGACCAGAATTCCCAATACCACCATTTCCTAGCTTTGTGGCCTTGGATACATGGCTGCCTTTCTAAGCCTCATTTTTCTCGTCTGCAAAATGGTGTTTGCCCACTTAGCAGATTTCAGCTGGGAGCCTGACATAGAGAGAAGTGTGAATGGGCAGAGAGGAGCTCTTTGTGGCATAGAATGGGAATGACCTGAGCCTAGACCCAGTACATACAATAAAAGCTATGAAGCTGTCCCACTCAATGCGAGTGGGTTTTATTTTTATTGAGGTCTAGCCAGTAAAACTGGCAAGAAGTATAGTCCAAGCCCCTTGGAAGACACCTGCCATATTTTTGAACCCATGCTATCTTGTCCCTTCCTGACAGATTGATCTAATTGATGGCAAAGGCAGGGGTGTGATTGCTACCAAGCAGTTCTCCCGGGGAGACTTTGTGGTAGAATACCATGGGGACCTCATTGAAATCACCGATGCCAAGAAACGAGAGGCTCTGTATGCACAGGACCCCTCCACGGGCTGCTACATGTACTATTTCCAGTATCTGAGCAAAACCTACTGGTGAGTACACAGTGTGACTTTCTAACCCTTTCGGGTGGAGGAAAGGCAGACAGCTGGGTGCCCAGGGCCATTCTTGAGTCTGTGATCAGTTTCCTTACTTGTTACAGTTAGACCAGGTCTCAATATGTAGCTCTGGCTGACATCAAACTCATCCTCCTGCCTAAGCCTCCTGAGCGCTAGGATTGCAAATGCGAAACGCCATATCCAGTGAGATCTGCTCCTTTCTCCCCGATTAGCAGTTAGCTTTGGGATTGGAGCTGTCCTTCCGCAGGAGAGGACTCCGCCCTAGAGACCTGCTTCAGTCACAAGCCCTTTCCCTCTGGGCATTTGTCTGAGGAGTGCTGCAGAATGGGAATTACTCCTTCCTGGTCAGATAAGCTGATATCCCCCCTCCCCCTTTAAAATAAGATTTATTTATCCTATATATGTGAATACTTTGTGGTTCTCCTCGGACACACTATCAGATCCCATGACAGATGGTTGTGAGCCACATGTGATTGCTGGGATTTGAACTCAGGACATCTGGAAGAGCAGTCAGTGCTCTTAACCACTGAGCCATCTCTCCAGCCCAGGGGAGCCGATTTTGACAGTTACTTCCTTGCCTCCATAGAGTGTTGTTTGGGTTCTGTCCCCAAGCTCTGTGTGCGGGCCTCTCTGGCTTTAAAAGTGTCCTTTGGAGTGAACCTGTCTTCCAAGTGCAGCATCCCAGCCAGGTTAGAGCCTTTCTATCAGTGTTATCTCTCTCTCTCTCACCCCTGCCATGCCAGCGTGGATGCCACTCAAGAAACGAACCGCCTGGGAAGACTCATCAATCACAGTAAGTGTGGGAACTGCCAGACCAAACTGCATGACATCGATGGTGTGCCTCACCTCATCCTCATCGCCTCCCGCGACATCGCAGCTGGCGAGGAGCTCCTGTACGACTATGGGGACCGGAGTAGGGCGTCCATTGAAGCCTACCCCTGGCTGAAGCACTGACCGCACGGCCTCCCTGCCTCCCTCAAAGGACAAAGTGCCCTCCAAGGGAAATGAAATTTTTTTTTTTACACACATACACACACACACACACACACACACACACACACACACACACACACACACTCTTAGCTAATTACTTCAAATGTTTTTAAAAAGTATATTAAAGATGCCTTTTCTTGTAGTATTTAAATATCTGTTACAGGTTTCCAAGGTGGACTTGAACAGATGGCCTTATATTACCAAAACTTTTATATTCTAGTTGTTTTTGTACCTTTTTGCATACAACCTGAACGTTTGTGCTTCCCGCGCGGTGTAAGACTCGGCACAGGTTTTAGAGAATGGAGTTGAACATGAACTAGGAAGCCGGGCTCTGCCCAAGATGAAGGCCAGGACCCCCCGCACCCCACATCCAAGGCCAGGCCGGTGTGAGGGCGCTGCCACCCCCACGCGCAGCCTGGACGGATGTCTCCAAGCTCTTGTTCTCCTCAGCATCCTGACAGGCAGACAAATGACATGTATGAATATTTTTTAGCAAAAGTTTCACAGTAAGCTAGTCTTCCCCCTCTGCTTTCTCCAAAGCTTACTGAGCCCGGGGCTCGGAGGCCCGGCCAGGAACAGACCTCTTCCGCAGGCTTACGGCTTTTCCAGGCACCTTGAAGCATCAGGGTGGGCAGTCAGACTATAGGCGGGCCGGGAAAAGCACTGTTCTCCTGCCTGAGAAGGGCAGGTCTCCTGAAACTGCATTAATTCTTTATAGAAATGTGAACACTGAATTTATTTTAAAAAATAATAAAAAAAACACAAAATATTTAAAAAAAAATCAAAAAAAGAAAAAAATGGAAAAAAAAAACCCACAGAAAACAACTTAACATGTATATAGGTTTTGAAGGAGTGAAATGAATGCGTTTTTCTTTTCTTCTGGGGTTTATTTTATTTTTTTTTCTTTTTGGCTTGGCTGGTTGGTTTGTGTAAAGAAGATTTGAAATGGTACTCTATTCTAATCAAAAGTGCGGTTTTGTAGTGGGACCAGAAATTACTAAGCCCACACCCCCTCCCCAACCCCAATTCTGCTGCGCAGGAAGTTCTCTACCTGCTGTCAAGACAGAACCCCTGGTATCCCGTGAAGATCCTGTTAGCTGTCAGTCTAGGACCCCTGTGCGATGTGTTGGGCACTAGGGTACCTGACAGCCAGCAAGGCTTAGCAGCCAGAGAACCAGGACGTTACTTGAGTTTTGACCTGTGAGCAAGAGTAGGTGGCTTTCTTCTCCCTCCCTGGGGAGGACTAACCATTCACCTTCAGTCCAGGGGGCTGGGGTTCAGGAGCCAGGTATAAGAACCTACCCTTGTCCCCAACACCCCCATCTCCCAGCCTCATGATGGTGCTACCTAAGAAAGTCTTCCCCACACCCTTTGCTAGCCCAGTCAGTGGTCAGACTTGGAGGAGGATCCGACAGGAGGGTGTAACTGTGAGATAAAGATGTCTTGGTTGTACCTGTTTGTGGCTTAGCTTTGTATTTAAATAGCAAACAAACAAACAAAAAAAAGGAAATAAACTTGAAACCTATTTGTCATCTTAAGAATAAAGCAAAAAAATTAAAATATTTATTGCCAGGCAAGGCCACCTATGTATGTGTTGTTCTTAATAAAGTGGAGGTGGAATAAACTAGGGGAAAGATGACTGGTTTGCCCTATAGATGTCTAAGCTCCACCCTACGGTTACCTGGCAACAGCCAGGTAGGTCTGATGCACTATAAAAGGGGCTGCTTGTCCCTCCCCCTCTTGGACTCTTGTCTTCTTTCTCCCTCCCACCTCACACCTCCCCCTCCCACATGGTCATGGCCAGCCTCTTCTATTCTCTTCCTTTCTCTGCCTCTACTCCCCTATTGACTCCCCTCCCCATGCCCTGAATTCTATACCTTCATGTGACTAGTCCCTCGGAAGGAATGCTTCAGCATGGGGCTTCTAAGACACCCTCCCCCTTTATCTTTTTATAAACACATCACTTTGGACCCACAGACATGAAAAAAGTGGGATCTAATTCCCTGCCGAGTGAACTTTGAGGTTTGTCCTAGGGAGCCAGAATTCAAGTATGTTTAGAATTTAGCTTCTCATTAACCTATACAAAAGTGGTAGATTCAGAGGGTTCTTGGGACATCTGGATAATGGCCAACATGTAACATATACCCTAAATGGTAGGTATTATAATTGTCATGTTTTAAGACTCAGGTATCCCAGGTTGGCCTTAAACTGATATTTTCTGGTGTTGGGATCACAGGTGTGCACACCAGCTCCATTGTCATTTCCAATTTAAATTTTACTCCCCGCCCCCATCCCCCAAACAGGGTTTTCCTGTGTACCTCTGACTGTCTTGGAACTCACTCCATAAATCAGGTTGGCCTCAAGCTCAGAGATCTGTCTGCCTCTGCCTCCCAAGTGCCTGAGTTAAAGTTTTGCATCACCTCGCCTACCTGGCTGCAGATTTGCCTCGTGTCTTAGCATCACTCGGTCCTTCCGAAAGCTCCACCCTGGTCCCAGCCATGCGCCATAGCTTCTTGTTTCAGTACTTGTGACCTATTGGGCCTAGATGGCTTAGGGACCCTGCATGGCTGTCAAACTGGAGCAACCTGCCTACTGCCTACAAGAGGTGTTCTGCAGACTCCCTTTTAAAGGATTCTGTGCCCTATTGGTCATTGTCAGTTTCCTCCTACCCAACACTGATGCATTAGAATACCAAGGAAAGGTTTGATGCCCTGATGATTGGTCCATGGTGGCCAATACAAGCATCCTTAAAGGCAAAAATCATAGTTTCAAACTTGCTAAGTGCTTGAGGCTGATAGCCAGTGAGTGTTTGCCCATTCTGATATCTTAGGCCGGATGTAGAAGATGTGGCTCTGTGTAAAAGCACTAGCTTAATCCCAGAACTCAGGAGGCAGAGACAGGTAAACTTCTGAGTTCAAATTCAGACTGGTCTACATGATTGTAGGACAGCTGGGGCTACACACTGGCACCATAAACCCGACGACCCACGTTCAATCCCTAGAACCCAGACAGAAAGCTGGATACTGGCTGGTTGTGGCACACCCCTTTGAGCCCAGTACTCAGGCCGAGGCATCTCTTGAGTTCCAAGCCAGCCAGGGCTCCATAAGGCAGGGCTCCAACGTGGGGAAGGAGGCAGAGCCGGCAGTCCCAGAGTACATAGCAGCGAATTACAAAGGAACAAGGGAGACCATGCCCCAGCAAGATGACAGTCCAGAACTGCCTCAAAAGTTGTCCTCTGGGGACTGGGAGGATAGTTCAGCAGTTAAAGAGTGCTGACTGCTCTTCCTGAGGACCCAGGTTCAATTCCCAGCACCCACCCACATGGCAGCTAGCAGTCTGTAACTTCAATCCCAGAGAACTTGACATCTAATGTGTTGCTTGCTTTAGTTAAAAAAAAAAAAAATGAGAATACTTTGCATTAATCTTGAGCTCAAAAGCCTTGAATCCGCTTTGAGTCAGACCATTGGCATTTCCTTCAGTCTGGAGAGACAGCCTCCCTTGGCTGACGACACCTTACTTGGGTTCAACTGGATACACATGAGTTGTATGCCCACAGGCATATACACCATCTTAACTCTAAAAAAAAAGAGACCAGTCTGAAACAGTACTAGAAACTATAAAGGTCTTTTCTCTTTAATACAAACGTCGTATAAAGAAAGTTGAATGAGAAAAAAATCAAGTATTCACCAAATATCAGTCAAGGCGATTCAATATTTCCCTACTTCTCCATCTCTCCCTGCCGCATGCTAATGACCAGATCACCACAGAGGCAGGAATGGGCTGCAGGCCAGAGGCCTGCATGTGTCCATGTGTGGAGGCGGGATTCGGCCACGCTCTGCGTACCTTTGCTTTCTCGACTTTTGATATTGCCTCTCTTGCCATGGCCAAAGCTTACTGGCTGTCCAGTTCTGTCCCCAGGGAAGAGGTGAGCCCGGAGAGAGCATCTTCCTTTGACTGCTCTGAGGGCAAAGTGCGTGAGTGGGCCAAAGCACATTCATGGCACAGAAAGATGGTTCCAGAAGGCATATTGGCAATTGTCTTCGAAAGTCTAGAGGGTCACCATCTTGGTGATAGCCTTCAATCTAGGTATGTTTCCCTGACCGGAAAGAGAACCTGGGTGAGAAAAAGGATGAGAGAGCATGGTAAAAAAACAAAAACAAAACAACAAAACCCAAAACGGTCATGCAGGCTGTGCACCCAGATCCATTCAGAGGCCTGTGTGACGTTACAGTGGATATAGGCATTTTCCCCAACCCTGACAATGTCAGCGTGATCCCTGGAAAAGAAAATCCGCTATGGTTTGCTGTCTGACCTCCACACATCTGTTGTGGTAGGAGCACCCATACATAACCAAGTAAGTCAATTTAATTAAACATAAATTTGTCCAGGAGCCAGGGGTAGTAGCTCAAGCCTTTTATCCCAGCACTTAGGAGGTACAGAAAGGATCTCCGAGTTTGAGGCCAGCCTGGCCTACATAGCAAATTCCAGGACAGCCGGAACATAAGAGAGACCTTGTCTTTTGTTATTGTTGTTGGGGTTTCTTTGTTTATTTCTTTTGTTTTGAGACAAGGCTTCTCTGTGTAGCCCTGGTTATCCTGGAACTCATTCTTGTAGACCAGGTTGTCCTTGAACTCAGAGATCTGCCTGCCTCTACATCCCAAGTGCTGGGATTAAAGGCGTGTGCCACCACTGACCATTGAGACCTTGTGTTTTAAGTAATGAATGTTTTGTTCAGGGCTTCTAATGGAACAACGTTGTTCTAGATGTTTCCATCTTTGGCTAATTTCAAACTCATAAATTCTGCACTTGGCATGATTAATATTCCTATTTTACAGATGAGCAATTTGAGGTCCTTTGGAACAGGCCAAACTGGGTAATGGGCTGAGCGACTGGCTTCCTCACTCCGGTCAGACACTGGCCTCTGGTTTTTGTTTTCAGGGGTTTCATGGTAGAAGGGGTAAAAATGGCTTTTCAACATAAACTATAATCTGAAGACAAATCTTTATGATGAAAAACATCCGAGAGAGCTTTTAGAACTGATAACCAAGAAGGGCAGTGGTGGCACAAGCCTTTAGTCCCAGTCCTCAGGAGGCAGCCACTGGCAGGCAGATCTCTGAGTAGAAGGCCAGCCTGAACTACGGAGGGAGTTCGGGGACAGTCAGGACTACACAGAGAAACCCCATCTTGAAAAACAAGACTGGGCACAACCCAAACCACCACAGGGGTGAGTAAACTTGACCTCCTCTGCTCTCCGGGCTGTTCACTCACAAAGCCCTTCCCTGGCTCCAGTTGTTTTCAAAACATGACAAACAAAAATCCTTCTTAGCTTGACCTACTTACTCAGAAAGTCACCTGTCCCCTTGTCCCCTCCCCCACCCATTTAATGAGCTTATCTAATGGGAATCTATACCCTCCCGGCCACGGCCACAGACATTTTTACTTTTTCCATATTTGTCTCAAATGCCTGTGAATTGGCCCAAAGAAGTCCCAAAGGGGATGCTGAAAGAAACCAATGGTTTCTGCCTTTCTGGGGGCTCCATTTAGACTGAGATATACAGAAAAGGGTGAAATACCCCAGCCTCCCCAGAGCAAGACAGCAGAGCATGGCCATGTCACTAGACGGCTGAGAGCCCCAGTGTGTATCCTTCTCATGAAGAAAGGGACCCCAAGCTGGGGGTAGTGGTAGTGACACACATCTGTAACCTTGGCACTTGGGAGGTAGAGGCAGGAGGATCAGGAGTTCAAGGCCAGTCTGGACAACATCTAATGAGAGTCTGTCTCAAAAAATATTTTTTTGTAATGCAAAATAAAAAGAGGGCTGGGAACAGAGCTCAGTGTATTCCATTACAATGTAGGATAAAGGTTCATGCCTTTAATCCCAGCACTCGAGTCAGAAGGAGGTGATCTCTGTAAGTTTGAGGCCAGCCTGGTCTATATATTGAGTCCTGGGACAGCCAGGGCTACACACAAACCCCATCTCAAAAAAATTACACACACACACACACACACACACACACCCCGTGTAGGAGACGGCAGCTAAGGAATACTGAGGGGAGAAAAAGTATTTCCCAGGGAAGAGCCCCCAAATTGGAAATTATATACATACCAGTAACATGTGTGTGTGTGTGTGTGTGTGTGTGTGTGTGTGTATATATACATATATATATACATATATATATATATATATATTATAAAAACATATATAACTGGGCAGGTTGTGTTTTTGTATTTAGGAGTGTGTGTGTGTGTGTGTGTGTACAATTTAAAAAAATAGAAGACATGAATTTCAGAGAAATACAGGGTACATGGGAAGGGTCAAAGGAAGGAAAAGAAAGAAGAAAGGCCATGGTGGTGCACACCTTTGATCCCAGCAGCAGCAGTTGGGAGGCAGAGGCAGATGGATTTCTGAGTTCCAGGCCAGCCTGGTCTAACAGAGTGAGTTCCAGGACAGCCAGGGCTATACAGAGAAACCCTGTCTTGAAAAACAAACAAACAAGCCTGTTGGGCATTTTCTTAATTTGTGATTAATGCAGGAAGATCCAGCCATTGTGGGTGGTGCCAGCTCTGGGCTAATGGTTCTGGGTTCTATAAGAAAGCAGGCTGAGCAAGACATGAGGAGCAAGCCAGTAAGCAGTATTCCTCCATGGCCTCTGCTTCAGCTCCTGCCTCCAGGTTCCTGTCTCCTTTGAATTCTAGCTTCAATCTTACAGGGAAATTCCTTCTGCAGGAAGGTAAACAACTCAAAGAACTTCAGGAAGTCCCTGAAACTGACCAAATTCACTAGGTCCCTGCAGAGTAAGCAATCTGAGAATCTTTCTGAGACTAACTGAACAGGATTGCAAAGAAGACCCTGAGAACCAGTCTTGCTGCCTGGAAGAGGTTTCCAGGTGCCCAACTGAGGGACCTGGAAAAGTCACTTTCCAGCTTGTTCTCTCAGCAGACTGTGCAGTGCGCTTCAGGTTCCCAGGTTTTGTGAGCTGTTACCCGTGCTGGGGTGGGCCTTGGTGACACAGCTATCGGAGTCATTTCTGCTCCCATAAGTAATCCCTCACCCATACTCCGGTAAGTAACCCCAGGAAAACTCATGGTTCACCAAGTTGGACAGACTGGTGGTATCTTTATTTTGGTCTGCCGTGGATTCCCTATCTGGGGTAAGTAGATGTGTGTTTCATCACCAGGAAAAGTCTGGTCACACAACACTGCCCAAAGTGCTTTAGATTATTAACTGTTCAATGGAAGTGAGAGTAAAATAAACCCTTTCTTCCCCAAGTTGCTTTAGCTCTTGGCATTTCATTCCAGCAATAGAAGACCTAACTTAGATACGTGTCAAAACAGACGAGCAGCAAATGCTCTTAACTGCTCAGCCATCTCTCCAGCCCCAACCTTCCTCCTCCTCCTTTGAGGGAAGTGTACTGCACTAACAGAGAAGTTCCTTATACAGAGATTTATCTTCAGCGTGCCAAGTTGCCAGCCTCAGGCTCTCCCACCTTGAAGCCACTGCTAACAGGGGGTTCACTACAACACAGACCCTGTTCTATTCCCATAACCCTTGATCCATAACCAAGATGGCTATGAACTGATGACTGGGCAAAGGGTGTAGACAGCCTGGCTTCGAAAAGACAACCAGATGACCTATTGCCCAAATTGGACATAGTGGGAGGCAAAATATTTCAACACACTGCTTAGAACATCATGCAACCGAAAATTCACTACTTTAAAAAAAAAATTTATTGTTTCTCAATACAGGGTTTCTCTCTGTAACAGAGTCCTGACTGTACTGGAACTTACTCTGTAGACCAGGCTGGCCTTGAACTCACAGAGATCCCTCCGCCTCCCAAGTGCTGGGTTAAAGGTATGCACCACCACACCTGGGTGACTCACTATTTCTGGAATATTCCATTTAATATTTTTGGACCCTGGTTGACCATGGCTAGGTAAAATCTAGTATACAGAATAGTTAACCTATGATTATAATGATATTAGTAACATTATGGTTCAAAGTACTTGAGTCAGAGAGATTCTCGTTCCGTGAGCAGAATCTTTCCCACACCTTGTCAGAATCTGTCCAATGCCCAGACTTCCTCCTGGCATTGGTTACAGCTATAAAAGGGGGGCATAAAGCTTTCCTACTGGCTGCAACCAAATCCCAGGAGCGAGAATAACCTCCCCACCCCAAGGCTGCCTAGCCTCCCCTCAGCCCACAACATCTTATGCTCATGATACACCAGTGATGGGGGCATCCAGGTGACTCACAGCTTCTTCATAATGGTCCTCTCCTCCTTCTCACCGTTGCCTATGGTAACCACAGCATCCTTCTCTCTTCTTCCTCCTGCAGTTTCTCTTGGTGGAAGTAGACCACTGGGAAAACAGGAGGCGAGTAAATAGTTGTACTCCGTGTTGCTTTTCTAGGGTTTTAGTTCAGTGGTACAGCACATGCTCAGTACACAGGATGCCTCATATCCCATCCCCTGACACCAAAAATAAATAAAACAAGACATTTGTTGTCGCTGTGTTTTGAGACAAAGTTGTATGATGTAGACCAGGCTGGCCTCTAACTTACAGAGATCAACCTGCCTCTGACCCTTGAATGCTGTATCAAAGGGATGTTCTATCAAGTCTGACCCTGTTGTCTTAAATCACTGTCTCATTATACAGCCCAGGATGCCTTGAACTCATGATCCCAGACTTACATTAGGATTACAGGCATGCATGATCACACATGCACAGACCTCTTTTATGTTTGTTTGTAGAGAGGTTTATGACCTTCCAGCTTCTACCTCTGGAGTTCTGGGATAACAGGCACATCTCCCCCCTCACCACCCCAGCCTAGATTTCCTTTTTTCTCCCCGAGAAGACTGGGTTTCTCTGTGTAGCCCTGACTGTCCTGGAACTCTATCTGTAAACCAGGCTAGCCTCGAACAAAGATCCACCTGCCTCTGCCTCCCAAGTGCTGGGATTTAAACCCATGCACCACCACTGCCCAGATGCCTGGACACAGCTTCCCACTAGACTATTAAGGACCTTTGCTACTAAGGGCCCACACTGTCCAGTGCTGTGCAGCTGTGCGCTTGGTGCCTGGCACATAGTGGGTGTTCAGTAGACTGGGTGCGTGAACGCAGGAGCCAGTCTGTAACGCGGTGAGCATCCTAGGCCACCACAGGGAGCCCACCTCCTATAGCACTGCAGTTCCTCCTGCACCAGCAGCAGCTGCGACTTGAGCTTGTTACGCTCCTGAAGCACGTCCCTCAGTTCTTGCAGAGTGAAGCGGGGCCGGTTGGGGTCTGTCAGATCCACTACCATTTTGTCTGGTCCCAAGTTCACCTGAAAGACAACAGACCAACAGGCTCAGTCACCATGATGGCCACGCCACCCTGGTCCCTGAAGGGATCTACTACTACTCAAACTGAGAAGGACTCGAATATGGAAATGACAGACACAGCAATGGACAGGATGCACTGATGAAAACCGGAGTCCAGGGCTGGGGAGATGGCTCTGCAGCTAAAAGTACTCAGTGTTCTTGCAGAGGACCCAGATTGGGTACCTGGCACTCACATGCCCTAGTGCTCACAAACACTTATAATGCTAGTTCCAGAGGATCCAACATTCTCTTTTGGCCTTCAAAGGCATTAAGCAAACACCTATGGTGCACACATACACGGGCAATACACCCATACAGATGAAATAAAAATAAATACGTTAGGGATGGAGAGATGGCTCAGCGGTTAAGAGCACTGACTGCTCTTCCAGAGGTCCTGAGTTCAAATCCCAGCAACCACATGGTGGCTCACAACCATCTGTCACGGGATCCGATGCTCTCTTCTGGTGTGTCTGAAACAGCTACAATGCACTCATATACATAAAATAAATCTTTTAAATAATTAATTAAAAAGGAGGAAGATGCTGAGCACCGAAGGCCGGCCTCACACGTGTGAAGCCAGGGGGTCCTTCCCCATATCAAAAAAGCCCAAGAAAACAATGAACCACAACAGGTGCAAGACCCAGCATATCATGTCATACGAAACCCAACGTGACTCCCATGGGACACAATCACACCGCGGCTGTGTTTCTAGTCTCATGCTACATTCCATTGGCTCTGGTGAAGAGAAAGGCTTACAAACAACTGGACTTCACAGGCTTCCGTAGTGGTGCGTGAGTATACATTCAGTTCAGAACTCTCACCTCTGATAACAAGACAGTGGAATTTTGCCAAATTCGCAGAAAAACAAAGACATTCCTCATACTTTTTTTTTAAAATAGAACGCTGACTCAAGACTTTCCAAGTCACTCCCTGGGCTGCTGAAGGGTGCTTGGGAAATGTTTTACCAGTTCCTGAGTCCAGAGAGTAAAACAAAAATTAGGTCAGACATGGTGGCACAAATCTTTAATCCCAGCACTCAGGAGGCACAAGCAGGTGGATCTCTGTGATTTCAAGGCCAGCCTGGTCTATAGAGAGTTCCAGAAGAGCCAAAAGTACACAAAGAGACCCTGAAAAAAAAAAAAAAAACAGGGGAGGGGCATTGGGAGAACAGCTCACCACTAGCCCTACCTCCAAGATGAAAAAAAAGAAAATAGACAAAAAGCCCAGGTTTTCTTTGGGGGTGGGGGGAGTTCCTTTTTTTTGAGACAGAGCCTCTCTATGTAGCCCTGACTATCCTGAAACTTGCTCTGTAGACCAGGCTGGCCCCAAATTCACAGAGATCCACCTGCCCCTATCTCCTAGAGTGCTGGGATTAAAGGCATGCACCACCTATGCCGGGCGGTGGTGACCCACGCCTTTAATCCCAGCACTTGGGAGGCAGAGGCAGGCGGATTTCTGAGTTCAAGAGTTCGAGGCTAGCCTGGTCTACAGAGTGAGTTCCAGGACAGCCAGGGCTACACAGAGAAACCCTGTCTCAACCCCCCCCCCCCCCAAAAAAAAAGGCATGCACCACCATGATTAAAGGCATGCATGCTTGGCAGTTTTCGGACTTTTTGTTTAGTTTTGGTTGACTGGTGGGTTTCTGGGTTTTTTTGTCTTTGTTTTTGTTGTTAAGATTTTACTTATATATATGACGAGTACACTGTAGCTGTCTTCAGACATGCCAGAAGAGGGCATAGAGGGCATCAGATCCCATTCTAGATGGTTGTGAGCCACCATGTGGTTGCTAGGAATTGAACTCAGGACCTTTGGAAGAGCAGTCAGTGCTCTTAACCGCTGAGCCATCTCTCCAGCCCGGTTTCTGGTCTTTTAAGACCAGATCTCCATCTGTAGTTCTGGCTGGTCTCATAGTAATACTCCTGTCTCTGGCTCCTGGCTGCTGGGCTGACTGACAGGCAGCACCATATCCAGAGAAGCTCTTGCCGTTCTGGTTATGTCCAACTTTCAGCCACATTGCAGGAAAATCACCAAGAAGTAGAGAGGCAGCGAGGCGATCACACAGCTGCAAAATAAAGGAAAACCTCGGCTACATGCTTCTCCGTGAGGGCTACCCTTCATAGAAAGTAAAGATCCTTCAAAATCTTTCCAGGGAAGAGGGTTAGGTAGAGAGGGCAAGGGAAGTTGGGAGGGGTGGGGGTAGGGGGTTAAGTCAAGTACCTTTATACTATCTGAATTTTGAAATTACATTTCAGAAATGGAAAGAGAAGAGAAGAAAGAGAGAGGAGGGGAAGGGAGGGGGGAGGAATACTAAGATGCTAATTGTATGAGGCTGGACATGCTGGCTCAGACCTCCCTGTCATGCCAGCACTTAGGAAGCAGAGGCAGGCGGACCAGGAGTTCAAGGCCAGCTTTCACTACATAGAGGGTCTGAGAGCAGCCTGGGCTACATGAGATTCTGTCACAAAAAAAAGGGAAAGACTTTGATGAGGTGAACAACGGGTCAATGTACAGAGACAGAAAGCAAGCTGGGTACAGCGGCACCTGTCTGGGACATTTACCCAAAGGCTGTGACATGACAGGGAGATCACATTAAGCCAACCTAGGCTATCCATGAGACAACTGCGCTAAACAAAAGCAAAAAGAAAAAGATCAACCACAGCCTGAGAGATGGCTCAGCAGGTAAAAGTATTTCTGGCGGTTCGATTCCGCTTGGCCCAAGAAGTGGCAGTATTAGAAGGTGTGGCCTTGTTGGAGAAAGTGTGAAACTGTGTGGGTGGGGCTTGGCCCTGAGACTCTTCCTAGCAGCTTGGAAGATGGGTCTTTTATTTGCTTTCTGAACAAGAAGTATAACTCTCAGCTCCTTCTCCAGTACCATGCCTGCCTGGACACTGGCATGCTTCCTGCTATGATGATAATTTACTGACCCTCTGAACCTGTAAGCCAGCCCCAATTAAATGTTGTCCTGTTTTTTTGTTTGTTTGTTTTTTGCTTTTCGAGACAGGGTTTCTCTGTGTAGCCCTGGCTGTCCTGGAACTCATTCTGTAGACCATGTTGTCCTCGAACTCAGAAATCCGCCTGCCTCTGCCTCCCAAGTGCTGGGATTAAAGACATGCACCATAAATTAACTTTAAAAATACAAATAAGGCCGGGCGGTGGTGGCGCACCCCTTTAATCCCAGCGCTTGGGAGGCAGAGACAGGCGGATTTCTGAGTTCGAGGCCAGCCTGGTCTACATACAGAGTGAGTTTCAGGACAGCCAGAACTACACAGAGAAACCCTGTCTTGAAAAACCAAAACAAACAAACAAACAAACAAACAAAAACCCTTGCAATGGCGGCACATACCTTTAACCCCAGCACTTGGGAGAAGTAAAGACAGGTGGATTTTTGAGGCCAGCCTGGTCTACAGAGTGTGTTCCAAGACAGCCAGGGATACACAGAGAAACTTTGCCTCAAAAAGAACAACAACAATAAAAAAACAAAACAAACAAGCAAATGAAAAGCAAGCAAGTGTGGTGGCGCACATATTTAGAGCCAGTACCTAGAAAGATGGCTCAGTGGTTAAGAGCACTGGTTGCATTAGTCAGGGACCCAGGTTTGGTTCCCAGTGTCCACGCGGTGGGTCACCACCATAAATAACCCCAGTTCCAGGAGATCTAACAGGCACACACATGGTGCAAATATATATGCACAAAACACTTATACACATAAGGTAAAAGGAATAAATCTAAAAATTGTTTTTAAGTAAACCCATAAAACTAGCTCTTGAGAGGCAGAAGAATTTCTGAGTTTGAGGCTAGCCTGGTCTCCATGGTGAGTTCCTGGTCAACATGGTGAGACTTGTCTCAAAAATAAATAAATAGGGCTGGATAAATGGCTCAGCAGTTAAGAGCACTGGCTGCTCTTCCAGAGGTCCTGAGTTCAATTCCCAGTAACCACATGGTGGTTCACAACCATCTGTAATGGGATCCGATGCCCTCTTCTGGTGTGTCCGAGGACAGCTACAGTGTACTCATACATAAAATAAATAAAATCTTAAATAAATGAATAAATAAATAAAGTATAGATGGTAAATAAATTTCATGTTACATGTATTTGGCTACAAGTAAAGATAATTTTAAAACCATCAAAAAGTATTTTTAAAAAAACACAGTATTTTAATAAACTCGGTGAAAATACATTCTTTTATTTTATGCTTTTTCTTTTCCATCTTGTTTTCCCTTTTGGAGGCATGGTCTTGCCATGTAGCCCAAGCTGGTCTCACACTCTCTATGGTCTTGCCTTGGCCTTCCAAGCTATTATGACGGCCATGTGTCACCACATCCGGCCACCCACCCCAAGCCACACACACCCTATCTTAAGACTGTATTTAAGGAAGAAAATATGCCACCTCATCTTGTGCCTCTGACACTTGTCCCCTGGGACAATCACTGGGCCCCATGCAAACCGCCATTTCCAGGCCACGACGTAGCTTCCTCCACTTCCCTGTGCCTGAAGCCTAAACACGCCACAGAGCACGAGCATGGTATGGTGGCTGAAAGCAGTTACACTTTTCTTGAATCTCCAAGGCCAGGTTACGACGGAAGGGTCTCTCTGCAGATACAACTGTTACTGTGACTTAAAAGCTGGTGAGATATACCAGTGGTAGTGGTTCACATCCTTGCTTCTGACACTCAGAAAGACTGAGGCAGGAAGATTACCATGAGTTTGAAGCCAGCCTGGGCGGCAGAGTAAGACCCTGCCTTAAATAATACCAGTAAGAAGGCAGTAAGTGAAAAAAAAAAAAAAGCATCTGGAGGTGCATGCAGCTGGATGGTTGGGTGAGCAGCTGTTCAGAAGGAACAGGGCCCTGGACTCCAACCTCAGCCTTGGAAATAAATGGATTTAAAACTCAAAAAAATTACACCAGGAAATATATGTCTGCATATCTCAAGAGTGAGCGGTGTGTGTGTGTGTCTTGTAGTAAGAGGAAGTCCTTTCTTAAAAGTTTTGTTTAAGCTGGGCATAATGGCTCATGCCTGTGATCTTAGCACCCTAGATGCTTAGGTAGGAGGGTATCTGGGAGTCTGAGGTCTGTCTACACAGGTAGTTCCAGGCCACTGAGGGTTCTTTTATGAGATCCTTTCAAGAAAAAAAAAAGAAAGAAAGAAAGAAAAGAAAAAGAAAGAGAGAGACGTTATCTTCTAAAAAAAAAAAAAAAAAGCAAGGAGTTGGGGATGTCAGACAGCAGTACCCTGCTTGTGTAGCATATTCAGGCCCCTTTACTCGCCCAACATTTTGACCCTAAACCACAGAAACAACATAACCCATCCCCTACCCCCGAAGCTTCTCAGATCCCACTTCAGACCCACAAAATCTAGCAATGTTGGTCTTTGCTGCTGAACCTTTTGAAGATCACTCTTCAGAATGTGACTCTGAAATGTGCTCGTGAAACCGTCGTTGGAGGTCAAAGTCACAGATGCAGTGGGCGGGACTAGAGAGACTGCTCAAGGGTTAAAGGGTCTCTACAGAAGGCTTAAGGCAATGAGTCTGATCCTGAGGAGAACTGACATGGAGGAAGGAGAAAATCACCTTACAAACTTGTTCTCTGAGAAGCATGCTTGCGCTCTCGCAGGCTCTCCCCCCTTACACACCTATACACACACACAGACACACATATGCACAGGAATAATATTAATAAAGAAAGACTTGGGCTGGAGAGATGGCTCAGTGGTTAAGAGCATTGACTGCACTTCCAGAGGTCCTGAGTTCAAATCCCAGCAACCACATGATGGCTCACAACCATCTGTAATGAGATCTGATGCCCTCTTCTGGTGTATCTGAAGACAGTGTATTCAAATATAATAAATAAATAAATCTTTAAAAAAAAGAAAGACTTAAAAAAAAAAGAAGAAAGTAAATCGGGCACTGGTGGTGCAGCTTTAATCTGAGCACTCAGTAGGCAGAGGCAGGTGGCTCTATGTGAGTTTCAGGCCAGTCTGGTCTACGGACAGAATTCCAGGACAGCCAAGGCTACAATAGAGAAACCCTGACTTGAAAGAAAAAGAGAAAGAGAGAGAGAGAGACAGAGACAGAGAGACAGAGACAGAAAGAGAGAGAGAGAGAGACAGAGAGAGAGAGAGAAAAGAAAAAGAAACTGAAATAGGGGCAGGAGAGATGGCTCAGAGGTTGAGAGCATTGGCTGCTCTTGCAGAGGACTTGGGTTCCATTCCCAGAACCCATAAGACAACAATCCATAAATCCATGTAGAGCGGGATAATTCAACGCCCTCTTCTGACATCCCCGACACTGCACGCATAGCATATTGTGCACAGACATAATGAAGGCCATACGTCCATATAACTAAAAATAAAAGTTAAAAAACATTTTTATGGGCAGCGGTGGCGCACGCCTTTAATCCCAGCACTTGGGAGGCAGAGGCAGGTGGATTTCTGAGTTCGAGGCCAGCCTGGTCTACAGAGTGAGTTCCAGGACAGCCAGGGCTACAAAGAGAAACCCTGTCTCGAAAAAAAAAAAAATTAAAGAAACTAAGTAAATTAGAAATGAAGTAGTTGCTTCTGACATGGAACACCGCAGGGTCAGACACTTAGTAGGTACACAATAAATGTTAACTGTGGGGAAACTTCCAGACTCAGGCTTGGGTTTTCCTCACCTGGGCTCCAGACACATTGGCTCTCCGCAGCCGCTCCACCTCCTGCTTGAGGTTGTCTCTCTCCATCCTCAGCTCCTCGACCGCCAGGCTGCCCTCGTTCACTAGGGCCTCCAGCATCTCCATCACACGTACGATCTTGAACTGCAGCCGGGTGACGCGGCGGTCGCTGCCCAGGGCCATCAGCTCGCGCCCCACCACATAGGAGATGTCGTACACGTCGTCGGTGGTCAGCTGCAGGGGGCTCTTGGCCAGGACGCCCTCGTCTTCCTCGCCATCCTCCTCCTCCCGCACAGGGGGCTCCTCCATGGTATCCCGGACTTCGGCGACCTCCGAGGCTGCTGTCACCTACGCGTCCACTGGCCCTGGGTCAGGGAAACTTTGCACTGGGCCGAGTCCACGCCGTGCGCAGTCTGGATGGCCGTGGGGTATTGCGTCGAGTAGCGGGTAGCACCGAACCATGGAAAACCGCGCGCAGCCCCAAACCCGTGCGCCAAAAGTGAGGGACACGCACAGGGGACTGTGGGAAGTGAAGCAAGGAGGAAGGGGCACCGAGAAGCACCCAAGGCCTGGTAGTCCGCGAGGGAGGAGCCTCCCGTAGCTCCGCCCTTGGTGACGGGCGCGTGAGAAGCCTGGTTTCCATGGAGACGGGGGCGGACTTCCCAGGGTGGTCATGGAAAGATGGTATTTAAAAAAAAAAAAAAAAAAAAGGCTCACAAGATTTTTACTTTGCAAACTTGAGCTTTCCAGCTATTGAATTTGCATGGCAGGGGAGGGTAAATCCAGATCTCTATTGAAGGGTATTTTTTTTTAATTGCGTAGCAAATAATAGCCGTTGAGCCGGGCATGAGCAGCAGTTGGTAGAGCTTGGCAACATGGGTCTCTACCGCTGAGCTGGCTATCTTGTTGGCTACCCAGTTATATCTCCATACACGCGCGAGAGAAAGTGCACGGAGCCCCACTCCCCTGCATCGTGAATGAACCTTGAAACCAGGCTGCTGAGTGCGGCGTACACATGGCTTCCTTTCTACGAAAGATAGAGTTCTCAGGCAGGAAAGGAGTATCAGCTTCCTGTTAAGAAAAAGAGCAACGGTTGGTCCGTTTCAGAAGCTGACGATTCAAACAGCTCCCTTCAAGTGAGATTTGTTAGAATAACGGGCCTCAAGGCTGGAATCAGATCTCGAGGTGGAGGGAGGACATTATTAGATAGCAACAAGTCCTAAACTAAGAACTGGGGTGTTTCTTTAAAATTTAGAGAGGAACTCCCTGAAGAATGAAACAAGAGTGGGGCATTGTTGATCATTTAATCCCACCACCACTTGGGAGGCAGAAGCAGACAGAGATCTCTGTGAGTTCGAGGCCACCCTGGTCTACAGAGTGAGCTCCAGGACAGAGAGATGGAGACAGAGACGCGGGGGGGTGGGGTGGGGACACAGAGAGAGAATAAGAATGGAATATCCCTAAGTCTTTGGTGTGTGTGAATATTTATTTGTATGTCCACATGTTTGGGGGCCAGAGGTTAATACCTTATGTCTTCCTCAGTTACTAATCTTTTGTTTGTTTTGTTTTTTGGTGTGGGAGATTTTTTAGGTTTTGGGTTTTTGTTTGTTTGTTTGTTTGTGTTGTTGTTGGTGGTGGTGGTTGGTTGGTTTCAGTTTTGGGTTTTTTTCCAGATGAGGTTTCTCTGTGTAATCCTGGATGTCCTGGAACTCAACTCTGTTAACCAGGCTGACTTTGAACTCACAGAGATCCTCCAGCTTCTGCCTCCTGAGAACTGCGACTAATGTTTGTTTTGTTTGAAACAGGGTTTCCCTGTGTAGCTCTGGCTATCTGGGAACTCACTAGGTGAGGGGAGAGGTGAGGGGAAAGCTTCCAGAAGATTCTTTTGTTCCCTCCTACCCGGATGTTGAAGCGCTGCAACAATTCACACATATCACTATATCTGGCTTTTTGTTTTGTTGTGGATTCCAGATATGGAACTCAGGTCCCCATGCTTCCTCTCTCCTTGGGTCATCTCATTGGCAGTCTGCCTTATTTATTTGTTCATAAGACAGGGCCTACCTAGCGCTGCACCTGGAGCTCTCTGATTCAGTTAGCCTGCCTGGCCAGTGAGTACCAGGCATCTGCCTGTCTCCACTGAGATTACAGACTTGAACTGTCACGCCCAGCTTTTATGTGGGTTCTGGGGATTGGACTCAGTCCCGTGTTTGCAGAGCAAGTGATTTACTGTATTCCCTTTAACATGCCCAGATACCAAGATAGCCTGGAACTTCTTCCCAATGAAAGCCTTGCCCTGAAATTTTTCTAGAAATCGACTCTCTGAAGCTCCACAGCTTTCTTCCTCCTTACCGTATATCCTTCTATTCCATAGTGAAGCCCATGACATGATGCCTTTAAACCAAATCAGGACTAGGGACATGGTGGTAGGTAAAAGCGTTGCCTTTGCACAAATTGACATCCCAAGTTGGATCCTCAAAACACATGTAAAGAGCCACATTCAGGGGACTGGAGAGATGGCTCAGCAGTTAAGAGCACTGACTGCTCTTCCAGAGGTCCTGAGTTCAATTCTCAGCACCCACATGGTGGCTCACAACCATCTGTATTCACATACATAAAATGAATAAAGCATTAAAAAAAAAAAAAAGAAGGAGAGCCACACGCAGTGGTACACATCAAGAGACCCTGCCTCTGAAAGGTGGGAGAGGAGAGAACCATCTCTGATTTCGACATGTATACTGTGGCACAGGCACACATATAAAGTGAAAATTAGTTACTTGAAGGCACACACCTTTAATCCAAGCACTAAGACAGATGCAGTCAGTTCTAGCCAGTCTAATGTTCTTGGGGTGTGGCGGGGGGAGGTTGATGCTTCCCTTTAGAATCAGTACTCAGGAGGCAGAAGCAGGTGAATCTCTGTGAATTCAGGGCCAGCCCTGTCTACAGAGTGAGGTTTCAGGATGCTCAGGGCTTGTTATACAAGAAAAATCCTGTCTTGAAAGAAACAAAAAAACACATTTCAAGGCAATCTTCCCTCTTGAGAGGTCCACAGCACATCTTGGGTGTATAGTGTGCTTTCTCAGCCTGACCTCTTCTCTCTCCCCCTCCCACATACTCTACTGGCCTTCAGAAAGTCAATCACATTGCTTTTTTTTTTTTTTTTCTCCAAAACCACTATTCCCCCGAGATAAGTTCAGACAGGAGAGGAAAAAAAAAAAAAAAGAAAGAAAAGAAAGAAACGGAAAACAGAAGTAAGTGGGTGGAGAGGTCACACGTCATCAAAGTGGAACTGGAGATGTTTGGGGGCTGACACCCACAAACAGTAACGTTCCACCAGCAGCTGGCCTGTGTGGGACATGAGCATGTTGTTCAGGTCCTCTGGCTCCGTGACATCACCGACTTCCTGAGTGGATCCTTCAATGTTGTAGACATTGTTCATTTATGCTGGAAAGCAACGAGGGTTTGGAAGGAGTCCTAGACTAAGGAGTTCATCTTTAGTTAAACTCTTAGGAGAAGGAGCTCGACGTCCTGTGAGGAAGAGTGGTGTCCCGGATGCTTGTTTTGAATCTCTGTGCATCTGTAAGAACTGAGGTTTTGTTTGTTTGAAGACAGGAGTTTTTTGTCCGTCCTAGAACTCACTCTGTAGATCAGGGTGGTTTTGAACTCAGAGATATAGAGATCCACTTGCATTGGTCTCTGGAGTGATGGGATCAAAGGACTGTGCCACCATGCCCCTCAACTGTTTTGTTTTTAGATCTCTGTGATCTGTTTATTCATGGGAGGAGCCTAAAGAGGATTATGGGAAGGGACTCTAGCTCCCCACCCTCTTGGCCATCCGCTGTGGATTATGGGAAGGGATTCGAGCTCCCCACCTTCTTGGCCATCTGCTCTGCTCTACCTCCGGCATAGAACATTCCTTCCCTTAAGGAACTGCGGAGTGAGCGGAATGGGTTTACCTCAGGAAATGTGAGGCTTTTGCTGAGCGTCTAGGTGTGAGATCCGCCGAAAGATCAAACCTGGAGTCTTGGTGCACACCTGTAATCCCAGAGCAACAGAAGCGGAAACAATGGGCCAATCTGCGATGCGTAGTTAAGAATTAGTCTCAAAAAACTAACAAAACCATAAGGAGAAAAAATATAGCCAGCTCTGGTGGTACTCTCAGTAATCTCAGCACTCAAAAAGGCCAGCCTGGGCTACATGAGAACCCATCTCAAACAACTGCAACAGAGAAATTTGAGCTGGAGAAATTTCTCAATGGCTCATTGTAGAAGCTGGGCCCTACTTCTTCCTCCCATTCTCGTAAGATTCAGGCTAAAAATATATTTACAAATAACCTGTGCCATATTGCTAGGCTCTCTGACTAGAATCATAACATAAGATAACCCACTTACTTTAACCTATATTCTGCCATGTGGCTGGTTACCTGTGCTCAGGTATCATGCTTCTGTCTTGTCACATCTTCCTGGTGAATCTCCCACCTGGTTTAGATGCCCAGCCTACCAACATCCAGAGTGGCCTCCATGTTCATTGAGATTCCCTGTCTTAAATCATATAAAGAGGAAGAATCAAGACCATTCCTGACATCAACCAGGTATGGGGAATACTTGGGAGGCAAAGCCAGGAGGATCTCTGTGAATCTGAAGTCTACTCAGTGAGTCCAGGGCAGCCAAGGACTATATAGAGACCCTGTCTCAAAAAGCAAACCAAAAATAACAGCAAAGTGGAATAAGATAGCAAAAGACAACCAAGCAAGTCCACCCTCGGCTTCTCCAAGTGCACATATACACTAATTGACCAATTTTTCAGCAATTAAAATTTTAAAATTTAACGATGATAATAGCCATTAATTAAAAAAAAAGTTGCCTGGCAGTGGTGGCGCACACCTTTAATTCCAGCACTCGGGAGGCAGAGGCAGGCAGATTTCTGAGTTCGAGGCCAGCCTGGTCTACAGAGTGAGTTCCAGGACAGCCAGGGCTACACTGTCTCGAAAAACCAAAAAAACAAAAACAAAAACAAACAAAAAAAGTCCAGATTTTACAATCTAAAGACAAGATGAAAAAAAAAAAAAAACTATGTGGTTACATATATTTGTACAATGAATAGGTCTTTACAGTTCAGTTGTGTTTGTGTTATTATTATTTTCGTCTTCCTTTTTTTTTTTTTTTTGGTTTTTCGAGACAGGGTTTCTCTTTGTAACCCTGGCTGTCCTGGAACTCACTCTGTAGACCAGGCTGGCCTCGAACTCAGAAATCTGCCTGCCTCTGCCCCCCGGAGTGCTGGGATTAAACGTGTGTGCCACCACTGCCCAGTTAGTTTATTCTTGTATTATGTATATCGGTGTTTTGCCTGCATGACGCAGGCTTGTAGTGCCCCAGGAGGCCAGAAGTCATCGGATCCTCTGAAGCCGAAGTTATAGACTGCTGTCAGTAACTGCGCTGGGTGCTGGGAGCCGAATCGGGTCTCTGGAAGAGCAGCCAGGGGTCTCAATCTCTGAACCATCCCTCCAGTGTGTTCTTTGAGGGGTGTCATTGTGTAGCTTGTAACTGGCAATCCTCCTGCCTCAAACTCACAAATCCTGAGATTACAGGCGTGCCCACCTCTCCCAACACTAAAAGTAAAGTTGCTAAATCTAGAGATTAGTAAACCTGTGGGAACTGTACGAAAAACTTTTCATTAACATTACCGGATTCAATAAAAGGAACGAATTCAATAAAACCAGATTCGCAGGGTAAACTGGTTTTAGGAAACTAACTGCACATTCGATAGTCTATCAACTATCAATTTAAGTTTTTGTCATGTAAAAGCAAGCAAACAAAAACAAATCTTATTTTCAAAATATACATTTCTGTATGTTGAATGTACATAGTCAATTTACTTAAGAAATCCAAAAGATGGAAGGTCCCACGCCTTTAATCCCAGGAATCAGGAAGCAGGCGGGGTTCTCTGAGTTCGAGGCCAGCCTGTTATACAAACTGAGTTCTCGGAGAGCTGGAGTTACATAAGAAACCCTGTCTCTGACAGCACACACACACACACACACACACACACACAAACACAAAACAAAAACACGTTGAGAAACCCTGTCTCTGACAGCACACACACACACACACACACACACACACACACACACACACAAACACAAAACAAAAACACGTTGCTCAACGGCGAATCTGCTGCCGCCAATAAAGAGTTCCAGTGGAGGTCGGGGCGTAAGGAATCTGCAGTCTCCGGCAGACGGGCGGTGGAAACGGCTTTTGTCTCGATGCGGAAAGAACCCAAAATTTGCTGAGGTGAGTGGAAGCTCGAAGGGAGCAGGGCCAACGTGAGAAGGCGGAGAGGGTCGCCCAACAGGCTTGGCGGGGCGCCACGTCTGCGCGTGGCCGACGCCATGTTGAAGGCTGGCAAAGGCGGAGGCCGGGCAGGGGGAGTGGGACTGAGGATGGGGTGGGAAGGCGGCCGGCGTGAGGGGCGGGGGAGCGGCCTTGGCCAGACATAGCTGGAACCTGGGTACCCAGAAGCCGGCTTCGCACCGACAGTTCCTCAGCGCCACTGCGCATGCCTGGGACGGTTTGGCACTGGCTGTTTCTTTTTACTTTGGTTTTCCGAAGGAGCAGCTTCTCAAATTCCTGAGATCGCTTCACCTTAGGTGAGGACTTTCACTCTCTCTCTCTCTCTCTCTCTCTTTTTTTTAAACGGGTATATTCACATGTCCTAAGCTGGTCTCCAACTCACTAGGTAATCAAGGTAGGGATTACAGACATATGCCACCAACAAACGGAGCTATTAAGACAAGTTTTTGGGGGGCAGGCGGGCGGGCAGTGCTAACGTATGCCTTTAATCTCAGCCCTTGGGAGGCAGAAGCGGATGGATCTCTGAGTTCAAGGCCAGCCTTCTCTACAGAGCCAGTTCCAGGGCTACAAAGAGAAATCCGGTCTCCAAAAGAAAACAAATGAACGAGAAAAAAAGGAGGGGGGGAGTGCTGGAGTGCTCAGCGGTTAAGAGCACTGACTGCTCTCCCAGAGATCCCTAGTTCAATTCCCAACAGCCACATGGTGGCTTGCAACCATCTGTTATGGGATGTGATGCTCTCTTCTGGTGTGTCTGTGTACTCACATACATAAAATAAATCTTGAAAAAGAAAGCTGGGTGGTGGCGCACGCTTTTAATCCCAGCACTTGGGAGGCAGAGGCAGGTGGATTTCTGAGTTCGAGGCCAACCTGGTCTACAGAGTGAGTTCCAGGACAGCCAGGACTACACAGAGAAACCCTATCTTGAAAAACAAACAAACAAAAAAAAAAAAAGAAAGAAAGAAAAAAGAAAAGAAAAAGGTCAGCCCACATCCCAAGAAAACATGATGGGTTGGTTGGTACTTACATTGAGGAGGCAGAGGCAGGATGATCAAAAGTTGAGGAATCTTGACTACAGGTAAGGCAGCCCCAAAAAGCTGAATTAATAGCCCTACAGCTAGGCCAAGAAAAACGACTCAATATCTGCATGGACAGGTGGTATGCTTTTGCAACCTTGTGTGTTCATGGGGTCATCTACAAGGAAAGAAACACCTGGGATTGGGCCTGGAGGCAGCATTCCTGGTCACCACTATTCTAATGACCCAACTACTCCTAGGGTAACACTCACATTACCTGAGGTCCTAACTTATACCAACAAGAATTACAGAGGATCTCAACCTGCACAAGCAGCCTACAAGGAAAAGGAACTGGAAAGGAACTGTATGTGATAGGAAAAGGGGGGAGAGTAAATAGCGTCCCTCACTTTAAACACCTTTGCAATCATAGACCATAGACCGTTACCATAGAAACCAGCAACTCCTACCTCGTGCTCCCTACTGCAACTTGGTTTGCATGCACCTTGAGTGGGACCCCTTAACATCGATTCGCAGGTACTCCAAAATTCCAGCTTGTGTGTTTTGTTTACCCTGTTCCCTCTATTACCTTTCTGTGATGGGTACTCCTGGTTGTCAACCTGACCACATCTGGAATGAACTATAATCCAGAATTGGAAGGCTCACCTATGATTCAGATCTCGAGGCTGGAAGACACAGGTTTCTGATCTGGATCTTGACATGGAGATCTTTTTGTTTGTTTGATGTGAGTACACTATCAGTCTTCAGACACACCTTCTGTCTTCTGTCTTCAGAAGAGGGCATCGGATCCCATTACAGATGGTTGTGAGCCACCACGTGGTTGCTGGGAATTGAACTCAGGACCTCTGGAAGAGCAATCAGTGCTCTTAACCTCTGAGCCATCTCTCTAGCCCCTTGACATGGAGATCTTAGGGCATAGTGGCCATGAAAAGCTTGGGCCTAGGCAAAGTAGTATATTCCTTTAATCCCAGGAGGCTGAGGCAATAAGATCTCTGAGTTTAAGGTCAGCCTGGGACAAAGCAAGTCCCAGGTCTGGATGTGATTGTGGTATATACCTTTAAAACTGGGCCACACCTTCTGCTGGAGGCCTACATAAGGACACTCGAAGAAGAAGATTCACTCTTCTTCGCCTGCTTTCACTTACTTACCAGCGCATCTGTTGGAACGTACTTCTAGCTTATATAGAAGACCAGCTAAAACAACTAGCCTCTTGAGACTGAGCAATAGTAGATTCTTGGACTTCCCATTCACAGCTTACCATTGTTGGGTTAGATGGACTACGGTTATTACAATAATTTCCCTTAACATATAGAGACATTCCATAAGTTCTGTGACTCTAGAGAACCCTGACTAATAATACAGTTTCTATCTATATGGAGATGGCTCTGGGTCATCACAGGAAAAAATGAGATTTTGGCACCTCAGTATCCTATTTACAGTGCTAGTGGGGTCTGGTATAGCTGCAGGAATGGGTACTGATGCTGTAGCCTGAGTCAAAGCAGCTCAAACTCTTCAGGCTCTGTACAACCTTCTGACGCAGATCTAGCTCAATTAGAAAAGTTATCCATCATTTAGTTGTTAGACTCATTAGCTGAAGTAGTACTAGAAAAGAGAAGGGGATTAGACTTACTCTTCCTAGAACAGGGAGTGCTCTGACAAGCCTTGGAGAGCAGTGCTGTTTCTATACTTACTTGGGTATTAACAGAAACAGTCCGGCCATCCACCAGAGATTAGAGGGGGCTAAGCTCAGACCACAGAATCAAAACTGGTATGAATCATTATTTTCCTGGTCCACCAGGCTGACTTACACTAACATCACATTGGTAGGACCAGTCCTGTATTGCTAACTGTCCTCACCTGTGGACCTTGTGTGGTAAGTGTGCGTCAAATTTGTATGAGAACACATCTCCGCAGTGCAGCTTATGGTCTTACTGCCTCAATATGAACATCTCAACCCTGTCACCCAGGAGACGGGCCTGTGATTCGGCTCATGGTATGATTTCAAGGGGAATGAGAGGACAACATAAACTCCATGTTAGGACCAGGCCTACTTCAAAGGAAAGTCATCTGTTCCAGGAACTGACCATAAAACCCCCCAAGTGATCAATCCCAGGAACTAGGCCATAAGTCACCAGCTCCAGGAACAAGGCCATAAAATCCCCCATCCAAAGAACAGCCTGAAGATAACCACAAGGATAGGGAAATAATCTTATCTCAGGATGGGCCATCTGTGCTGAGCAGCCTTATATGGTTTTGGTATCTCAACCTGTGGTTAAATGTTCATGACACAGGAATGCTGTCCACTGACACCTGGACACAAGCCAGTCAAAAAATGACCCATCCTTGGTACCTACCAATGAAGTTTTAGATTAACTAATCCTAGCTAAAATTCCTCTAGTTCTCTATAAAAAGAATGGTATGCCTTTGTATGGGGTTGCATTCTTTTTTAAGTGGCTGACCCCTACATGCAGGCTTCTTGCTTTCTCGAAATAAAAACACTCGCCAATTGCATTTGTGAGTGGTGGTCTCCATGAGACGCTTTCAGACTTAACAGTCTGCACGTTTGTATGTGCACCATGCACATGCCTGGTGTTCACAGAGGCCAGAAGAGGGCTTCAGATCCCCTGGGCCGGAGTAATTGACAGTTGAGAGCCATCCATGTGGATGGTGGGAATCGAACCTGGATCCTCTGCTGGGGCAACCAGTTCTCTTAACTAATGAGCCATCTTTTTAGCCCCAGCTCTTTGGATTTTGAGACAGGTAGCCTAGACTGCCCTCAAACTTGTGGCAATTCTCCTGTCTCCTGAGAGCTGGGTCTACATGTACACATTAGCATGGCCAGGAATAAATACCATTCTAGGAAGATGGAAAGATGTTATTAGGAAAGGAGTTGCCTGCAGTGTTTCTCACACTCCTGGTTGTAAAGAGCAGATTCCAGCATTGGCTCCACAGGGTTAGTGGGCAGTCAAAGAAAGCTTTCTGGTGTCCGAATGAATTATCATGTGTCAATATGAATGAGCTACAGCGGGCTCAGGCATTCACATGTCCAGCTTGAATCAGACATCGCCCTGTTGGGAGCTGTGAAGAAAGTCCCTGGTCTGGAGCCCACTGCCCTCAATATGAGCAGTGAAGTTCCTTGGTGGTATATGCCTGTAATGTCAGCACTCAGGGTGAGGCAGGATTTGGAGTTCAGGGCCATCTTGGGGCTCTAAAGGAGGCCCTACATAGTGAGACATACCCTCCACAACAGGGGGTGAATGACACTGCTTTCCAGAGCTGTGGAGAAGGTGGAGAAGCGTGGGTACCTCATAACTGCCTGTTATGTTCTACAGCATGAGCGACTGGATGCCCATCGCCAAGGAATATGACCCGCTTAAAGCTGGCAGCATCGATGGGACAGATGAAGACCCACATGACCGAGCTGTATGGAGGGCCATGCTGGCCCGCTATGTCCCCAACAAAGGAGTCACCGGAGACCCCCTCCTTACCCTGTTTGTGGCACGATTGAACTTGCAGACCAAAGAGGAGAAGTTAAAGGAAGTCTTCTCCCGATATGGTGACATCCGGCGGCTGCGGCTGGTTCGGGACCTGGTGACAGGCTTCTCTAAAGGCTACGCCTTCATTGAGTACAAGGAGGAGAGGGCCCTGCTGAAGGCCTACAGAGATGCTGATGGCCTGGTCATCGACCAGCACGAGATATTCGTGGACTATGAGCTAGAGAGGACCCTCCGTGGCTGGATCCCTCGGCGGCTGGGTGGTGGACTGGGTGGGAAAAAGGAATCTGGGCAACTGAGGTTTGGTGGCCGAGATCGGCCTTTCCGAAAACCCATTAACTTGCCAGTTGTCAAGAATGAGCCTCATAGAGAAGGGAAAAGGGAAAGGAGGGAGCGATCTCGGTCTAGGGACAGACACTGGGACCCCAGGCCCAGGGAACGGGACCATGATAGGGGCCGAGAGAAGCACTGGCAAGAGAGGGCGAGGGTGTGGCCTGAGAATGATTGGGAGAGAGAGAGGGAGTTCAGGGAGGAGAGGGCCAAAACCAGGGACAAGAGAGACAGAAGTAAGTAGAGCCAGCAGCAGGCAGCGGAGGCCTACCCAGAGGGCTGAAGCCACGAGGCCTCCATCAGGCTGGGGCAGTTCCTTTTGCAGTACTGAGGGTTGAACTGGAGAGCGGCATGCCAGACAAGCACTCCAACCACAGCCACATAGGATGAGAGGGAGAAAGAGTTGTGTAAGAAGTCACCGGCTCGCTCATGTGGGAATAGAAAAGTTTTCACATGCTGTCATCCAACTTGGGAGTTGGAGGCAGGAGTATGGAAAGAGAAAGGGGGTAATAAAGAACCTATCTTCACTTTCTCACACCCTTTGAGGTGGGGTTGAATCTGTGGCAGAGGGGATAGTGGTATAAACTCTTTAGTAGCCTGGTGTGATGGCACACCCCTGTCATCCTGGCACTGGGCAGGCAGAGACAGGAGAATTGCAAGTTTAAAGCCAGTTCAGGGTACAAAATAAGACCCTGTCTCAATAGCCTATGAGAGTTAGTTATGCTGACACTGACTCCTGAGATACGCTGTCTTTTCCATTTTCATGTATGTAGCCCCAGGGCTTGCTGAATTGAAAGAAACAAGCCTAGAAAGGCCAAATCTAAGGAGACTGTTCCAGCTCTTAATAACTAGACAGCAGGTTGAGCATCTGGGTCAGCAGGCAGCTGCTGTCAAGTCTGTAACCCGCTCCCTGAAAAACTGCTGACTGCCAGCCTTCTTCCCCGACTGGCATTTAAAATGAAACACAGTCTTGCAGGGCTGTGATCTGTAGCTGACTCTGAGCTCTTTTATGATAAATCCAGACAATAGTGGTGCATGCAGAGGCAGGCAGATCTCTGAGTTTGAGGCCAGCCTGGTCTACAGAGTGAGTTCCAGGATAGCCAGGGCTGCTCAGTGAGACTCTGTCTCAGCAGGAATGAGGTAAAAGAAAGGGAGGAAGGAGAGACACCTGGACCTGTTTTGAAGGGCTGGTGTGCCCTGCTTCTGACTATCTGGATTCGGGTTGGCTGGACAGCTGGTTTCTGTGAACTTGAAATCAACCAAAGATCACTCTCAAGACTTTAAAATGGCATTTAGCTGGGCTCGATGAGGCACACCTTTAATCCCAGCACTTGGGAAGCAGACAGGCAAAGTTTGATGGAATTCCAGGCTGTTTCATTCAGTAAATGTACTGCCATTGGAGAGCTAGTAAGATGGCTCAGAGCATAAAAGTATATTACTGCTGGGACTGGAGAGACAGCTCAGCACTTAAGAGCACTTGATGTTCTCGGAGACAACCTGGGTTCCATTCTCAGTACCACATAGTGGCTTAAAAACCTCTAATTCCAGTTCCAGGGGATCCCATACCCTCTTCTGGCCTCATGTGCGTATGCATGTGCAAACACACACACACACACACAGAGGCACACTCACACAAACACTAAAATCAAATCTCTTTTTTTTGTTTTGTTTTGTTTTTCGAGACAGGGTTTCTCTGTATAGCCCTGGCTGTCCTGGAACTCACTCTGTAGACCAGGCTGGCCTCGAACTCAGAAATCCGCCTGTCTCTGCCTCCCAAGTGCTGGGATTAAAGGCGTGCGCCACCACCGCCCGGCTCAAATCTCTTTTTAAAAAGGTCACACAACCCTGACCTCAGATCCCCAGAACCCATGTTTGATGTAATCCATGTATGACCTCCACATGAGCACTGTAACACACATCACACATACAGCAGTCAGCTTGGCATGTGGTCTCCAAGCCCCTGCCTACCCAATGCCCTTCCACCCACACATCTGACATCCTCATCCGCCACGGCACGCCACCTAGGCTTGTGAGCCCGGCACCCAAACCACTTGAAAGCATTGTCGTCTTCATGTAGGACCCAGCATTTCACCCAAGGAACATGAGAAGAACAAAAGATGGCAGGAAAGGAAAAAGGCACACAGGAAACAAGTCGATGTCTCATCCTAAACAACTTTTGTTTGGTTAGTACTGTGTAGCTCACAGCAGATTCCAAGGCACACCATCTCGGACAGGCTGCCTGGGCCTCTAGCTTTATCAGGAACAAAGCTCGACAATCCTAAGGTGGTTTCTAGCCAGTGGCTAGAAGGATTGCATGATTTTCTGTTGTGTCCCAGCCAAACTGGGTAGCCCATCCTATGACTAGAGGCTCCACCTGTCCGATTCACACTTCCTGTATAGCCTGCTACCTCCAGGGCAACTTCATAATATAAAACATGGCTCCTCACTGACAAAAGGCCATTAGAAAACAAAACAAAACCTAGGAGTCAAACAGCTATGATAGTGGCAACGTGTTCAGCTTAGGAAGCTTGTTAACTAAAATTAATGCGGTCTGGTTTCATACCCTCATCTTATTAAATATAGGTCCTAAGGGGTCTGAGGCATTGAGTATAAACTGGGGAGCCCTGCAGATAAATAAAACACTTTAGAATTTGGCATCAGTTTTTCATCATCCGTCCTCAAAGCAGACAGTTCGTTTGAGGAGTTGATGTTGAGGCAGCCCGCCACCTGGGGTGGGGTGGGGGGGGGCAGCCAGTCCATGAGGAGGTACAGTCACAGGTGCTGCAGGGCTTCCTGTCCTTGTTCTGTGTACCCGTCATCACGGTGGGTAACTGCCCACTGGCCAAAGGACTCGTGGATGTGTGTGGGTCTCTGTGTGTTGGCCAGGCGCTTCTTGTCCCGGGAGAAAAAGCTAAACCTTTTGGAAAGGAACAAGAAAAAGGCGATTAGTGCTTGTCTGTTGTCCTATCGACACCCCCCCACACACACACACACCACTTTTCAGTGCTGGGACACACAGGAACACACACACAGGAGCAGGTCCATTCTCTGTACGGGGGGATGCGGTCAGCAGAATTCTAAAAAGCACTGGGGCTTGTGTGTGTCATTTAATCATTCTGTTTGTCAGAACCTTAGCGATCACAAAGAGTGAGCAGTCTGCAGGTATGCGATCGGGGCTGGGGCACTTCCACCTGGCCATTAGTAGGGAACCTCTCCTGTAATTACTAAAGAAAAAAGAAAACACAACTCAGGTCTTCACAAGGGCCAGGCGAGCACTCTATGGCTCAGCTACACCACTCAGGAATTTGGATTTTTTTTTTTCCTCCTCTCATATTTAGAGATAAGGCTTTCGATAGTTCACCTTGGCCTCCAAACTCATTACGTAGCGGAAGACAACCTTGAACTAAGGAGCCTTCTGTCATACTTCCCAACTGCTGAGATTGTAGGCATGAATCACCATACCCAGTTTATGATCTGCTGGGGATCAAACCTAGGGCCCTGTTCGTGCTAGACAAGCACTCTTAACACACTGAGCCCCAGTCCCCGCCTAGGAATTTCCTTAATGAGCTAATGATGCTTTGAAAGAACATGAAAGTTATGGGGAAGAAGGTTCTGAGGCAAACCCACTCCTAATATCCCATTCATTCATCCATTCATTGATGTGTGTGTATGAGTGTGTGGGCAGTCAAGTGACATGGCTCCTGTATGGGGAGTGAGAGGACAGAGAGTGGCAGGTCAGTTACCATCTTCCACTGTGTGGGTCCCAGGAGTTGAACTCAGGCTCTCAGCCTTGGTGGCAAGGGCCTTAATCCGCTGAGCTGCTGAGCCGTCTTGCCAGCCCTCAAAATCACACGTGCTAGGTAAGTGTACTGCCACTGAATCACAATTCCAACACTTCCATCATTTTAAATAAGCTAAGAGAGAGAGAGAGAGAGAGAGAGAGAGAGAGAGAGAGTGTGTGTGTGTGTGTGTGTGTGTGTGTGTGTAAAGTAAACTTGTGAAACTGGCTCTCTTCTTCTGTTCCGTTTTAGGTGACAGGCTTAGCTACATCTGTGTTACCCGACCAGCCATCTCTCCAAACTCCCAGCCCTTTAATACTAATCTTCCAAGGTTTTGCCAAATCTCCCAGACTGGCTTTTAACTTGTGGATCCTCCTGCCTCAACCTCAGGCGGTCATGCTTGGCAGCAAGCACCATTAGCTGCTAAGCCATCCCACAAGTCCTCTAACTTTGTTTTGAGACAGGGGATTGTTCACTTCTGCTATTGCCAGCCTCTCCTCTCCTGTCCCTCTGTAGGAGAGCTGGGATGACAGATGCATGCTCCTGATTCTGACTTTATGTGGGTCCTGGAGATCTGAACTCATGCCTTCATATTTGCTAGACAATAACTTTACCAACCGAGCCGACTCCCTAGCCCCGGGGCGTTTGTTACAGTCACGTGTAGTGAAGAGGATTTTACTCTACTCTTCTGGGATGCTACTGAAACTGCACTTCCTTTCTAGCAGGAATAGGATGTTCTTTCATCCTCAAGCCAAGTTCACCTGAGAAAATTCTCCAGAGCTTTGAGGGGCCAGTGCAAGCGGGTGAGTGAAGGTGAGGGCTCCTGTTCAACAGGAGAGGGTTCTTTCCAACACAGAGCAGCCGTGGAGTTAGCTAAGCCCAAACCAAGTCAGCCTCCTCGCTGCTAGGTCTTAGGCACCTGGTACTTCCCACTTAGAGAGAAGGCAGACACCGGCTCCCCACCCTCCCCAGCCCCCACCCTTTTCTGCACAAAACCAAACAGCTGCCAAGACAAAGCTCTTTAGGAAGCTGCAGGCGCGGTGACTGGAAAAGCAGTTAGTGACACTCCCGAAACCCGGAGGGGCATGGATTACTAACCCGTCACTTAAAGGACCTTCTTTACTGGATCATGGACAAGGTGGTTTTTAGAGCGAAAACAGAAGAGACAAAAGAAATTATCGGTGACATTCTGGGCCGCACTTGTGGAGGTCAAGAGCAGCCGTGGCAATCACACTCCATACCCACTTGAGATGCCAACGAGCAGGTGACTGCCATGCAACTGAGGTGGCCAGAAGGGAAAGGCTGGCAGCAGCTACAACAGCCATTCTAAAGGCACAGCAAAAAAACCCCAAAACAAAACCCCAAACACAGACAGTGCCTACGAGGGACACGAGTCTTCTGACAGGCTGCAGCGTGGGGTCGTCAAGGATCAGTCCAGCTGCCACCATGGGCATGACGGCTGTAAAGAGCCTGCTTCCAGAAGCAGATAGAGAAGATAAAAAGAGGTCGGCGTGACCAAGAAACCCACCCCCCAAAAGACCCCACTAGGAGCTGCACCTATGGTCTGTGTGATGGGCTCAGTCATGTTCCCCCACATTCCTTAGGATGTGACCCATGAAGACACAGGATCCTGCTGGAGAACGATACAGTGGAGGAGGGGCTCTATCTCAAAAGGACTGATGACCTTGTATATGGGGAGAAATGTGGACACAGATGTGTACAGAGGCAGCGATGGAGTGATGTTCCTATAGGCTAGGG